ACAGGACACATTAGGAAAAAGAAATCATCTACTAACCACCCTGTGTCCGTTTTTGGCACATTCTTATTAAAAAAAAAAAAATAGGAGTAAGTAGCCAAGAATAGGATTTTAGAAAGGACAAAGGATGGGGCTGGGGATTTAGCTCAGCGGCATAAGCGCCTGCCCTGCAAGCAGGCAGTCGTAAGTTCGATCCCTGGTACCGATAAAAAACGAAAAAGACAAAAAAAAAAAAAAGAAAGGACAAAGGATGTGGAGTTCTGTGATACCCCAGAGTAGTGATGGCGAACCTATGGCACGCGTGCCAAAAGCTGGATGTTTGTTATCACTGAAAGCTTAAAAGGTTCGCCATCACCACCCTGGAGTAATTACTCAGGGATAAACAAAGGACCTCCCAGCCAACTCCTGAGCTAAGGATGGACATGAACACCAGCTTCCAGACAGTCAGTCACCCCAAAACCCAGCTAGTGTTGGGTTCACAGATAGGAACTGTGATTGACTTAACCAGATCAGCACTCATGATTTCAACAGAGCTAATATATGAATTAAAACTATATCATTACTAACTAATGTCTTCCCCAAACAGGTATAAAACTGAACTGAGCACAATAACTGATAATACTTACAACTATTAATTTAAATTTCAATTTTTTCCCTAAATGTGTGTAATACAGAAACCTGCTGGAGGGAGGAGGAAAAATCCACATTAAATAGAAATTAAAATCTCACCTATAAAGGAAATTAACTTTAATTTGTAATGTTTCTGCAAGACACAGATCCTTACTGTGGAGAACTTTGACCTTATGAGTTCAAGGTTCCAAGTGCCAGAGATCATCCTCAAGTACCCGAGAACCAGCCTAGCCATTGTGATGACAGTCATGGAAGAAGAATTTAAAAGGCACAGAAATCAGAAATCTGATGTCTTGAATGTGGTTTACTCTCACACAGAGGCCAATTAAAAAGGCATCTCTGGTCAAACAGAAGCTGCTCACTTGCTTTACATACCCCTGCACATAAACACACAGTGTTCACAGTTTTAGCATCTTCTAGGTAACTACGTGAAAACACACCCCGTACCAAGAGCAGGTGGGAAATGCTGCAGCCTTGCCTAGCTAAGGCAGTTCAAACAAAAGAAAAAAAAATTAAGACTCATGACACTGAGCCAAGTAAACAAATGACAACAATCCCACGGCTAACCTCGGAAGACAGAACTTTGAAAGGGAGTCAAGTTCAATATTTACATGCTTGGGGAAAGAGTTTTGTTTCAGAAAAATATTTGGTACAGTGTCTGTTCAGTCACATGAAGAACACTGTAAACCACCACTAAAACAAACCAGACTCAAATCCAACACAATGGCATGTGTTTCCAACCTGTAACTGACACCAAGAAAGAGCTCCCATTGGTTATGAAAATCCTGCAAAGAGATCACAAGGAAGCCATCTGGGAATTCGGCCGGTGGAGCAGGAGGACTTCTAATGCATAGCCGGTTTCCAGTCCCCCTTGTCATATGGATCTTCCGATTCCTTGAACTGGAAGAAGTACGTAAACGTTTACATGGAGGGGAGATTTAAATAGGAAATAAAAAGTCACCATGGGCAGAAAGAAATGGCAGCAAGACATGAGACAGATGTAAGCCCAGAGGGCCAAGGTAGCAACTGCAGTCTAAGATTACAGTGTCATTCTGTACACCGGAAACTGGCTAAGAGCCTAGATTTTTATTCCCTTTCCCCCTAAAAGGGGAGCAGGTAGGTGACTATTCAGTCTATGTGATGGTAAGAATGGATATGTTAATTTTCTCAACTATTTATTATATGTATCAGAACATCATGTTGTATACCGTAACTATACACAATAAAAATTTAAATCTACTTAACTTAGTACCATATATTAACTTTAATTAATTACTTTATTGAGATAAGCACAGCTGCACAAAACATGGAGGAAACCTTTTTTGGTAAACTTTAAAAATATGCCACCTGACCTAGCATTTCCACTTCTAAGCACTTGTCCAAGACTTATGAAAACAGGTCCACACACAAATTCCGGTGAGAACACTCAGCTTCACACACAATAGTTCAAACGGCAGATAACCCACAAGCCTCAGCAGCAGAAGTGCTAGAGTCATTCACACGTTGGAATACTACTCAGCAGTGAAATGAAACAAACTACTGACTGTGCAAGATCAAGAATGAAGTGCACAGAAATTATTCTGAGCAAGAGAGGCTGGATGCCGTGGTGTGCCTTCTATATGAGTTCCTGCTTTTAAGCTCTTGAAAATGTAACGTGAAGCTATGAACAGCTGCTGGCTCAGGTGAAAGACAGGAAAGCAGAGGGAGGGAGCTTTGTGGGATGGTGGAAATGACCCATGTCACACCTGGGCACAGCTCACAGTTAGATGGCAGTAACCTTCTGTCAAAATAGTGCAGTTATGGGTCAGTACTGTCCATGATGCATTTTTGCCTCTTGAAAAAAACAATGGTGAAAAAAATCACCCATTTGAAAAGACAGGGACAGAGGTAGGTGTGAACCACTAATGCCAAACTTCTGATCAGTTAAGGCTGAGTGACTGCCACAATCTTTTCATGTTAGTTTGTGTGTTTTCTTTTTTAATTTTTATTTGTATAGTGTGTGTATGCTGCAGTCTGTAATGATTACATGTGCGGGTCACATGTTAACTTTTTTTTGTCCCCTTCATCTTGCATCTCTCCTCTCCTCCCTCCTTCCATTGCTTGGTCATCTGCCATTTCATAAAATAAAAAGTTTTAAAAATAGACATCCCTGAAATATTCAGAAAATTGTCCATACCACAGGAACAAAACATATACCTCAAGCCATTCTCTGCATGTAAAAGTCATCTCAAGATCCACAGAGAACCCTGTGCCTGGGCTTCACATGGAGAAATTTTTTTTTTCTTTTTTATCAGTACCGGGGATCGAACTCACAACTGTCTACTTGCAAGGCAGGCGCTTATGCCACTGAGCTAAATCCCCAGCCCCGAGAAATTTTTTTGAGTGTGCTGGAAATCAAACCCAGGATCTTGTGCTTGCCAGGCAGGCACGGCACACGGGGAACATTTTAAATGTGGATCATTACTTTCGCCCACTTCTCTCCATACTACCTCACCTCCCACGTAACACAGAGCCTCAGAGTGAAGAGGCATGGGTGTCTGACCTCCACCAGCCCTCAATCATGCTTCTACAGCCCCTCGACTATTTCTCTCTAGCAGATATTGCTACAGATGGAGAGATCAGAGCGGCTGCCGACCCTGGAGAAAACAGCTCCTCTGACGGACTTTTAACCTTAGCCTCTCTCCTCTCTAACCTGTGAACACACAGCCTTTATCAGTCAATGAGAAAACGCAAACATACCTGTTTCAAATCTGAATTTTTTAAAAGTTGAGTCAAGTTTTTGGAAGCTCACCTTCTTATTTCTCAACAATATTAGATCATAAATAATGTTTACAATAACAAAGTGTAGAAAACAACCTCGGTCAATTTCTCTACTACACACACATGCTCAGTTATGTACCCACCACTGAAAGCGTGTTAGTCTTCTAAATTGTGCCTGAGAAAAGTTCTACCATTTTCACACAACAAGTCCCAAGAGTCAGAAGCACCAGCAGGGAGGAAGACAAAACTCAGGTGAATGTCAGCTATTTAAAGGTGCAATGTGTTAAGGCTCTCCTCCCCCTCCATCCATCACAGGAGGATTACCAGTGCGTTTAGGGAAAGAACAGTGTTGAGGTCTTAAAGTTTTTCATGGAGCCTAGTAAATGTGCTCGAGTACCAGTACCAGTGAGTTCTCTGTAAATAACACTAGATGAACACGGAAATTAGCTACTGTTAAAGACCCAGATGTATCTACATACACAGATGTATCTACACACACGTCTTTCTATACAACACTCCTTTATCTTCACACACCTTCTGCTACGTTTACTGACGTTTTAACAACAAACACTTAGCAAATAAAACATTCACTGATCCTGGCAGAGTCATCCTTTCATTCGTGGTGTCTACCCATAGGAATTCTCTTCAACAACAGAAAGTGAACTGGACAAAGTCCTGGTGCCTCTGTGTTAGGAGGAGACAGACTCAGACACTCAGAAGCACTGAGGACAGTCAGTCGTGCTAGGGACAGAAGAATTTGCAGGTCACCATCTGCTACACCTGGTTGGGAGAGGCTTCTAGGGTACAGAGACACGTGAGGGGCCCTGAGGAATCCAGGGAGAGAAAACAGCTCCGGAACGCACGGGCAAAGCAGAGACACAGGAAACAGCCTAGCTGGGGGGGGGGGGGGTGCTGCAGGAGCGGGGAGAGGGGTGTGTAAGAGATGGAGCTCTCGGGCCTTTTTCTGGATCTGAGCTTCCAGCAAGAGGGAGACGGAGGTGAAGCCACAGGAGGATGGAGCAGAAATTATCCTATTAAACGGTTTAAAAGACGACGGCTAGCTGCCTGGGAGGTCAGCCAGTCTGGAAAAAGAAAATCAGTTCAGGGTAGACTCAGATCACAGGACTCGGAGGACTGGCCCAGCTTCACCCGCACACAGGCTGGGCTTCGTCACCACACGGGTGACTTTCCAGGAACTCCACGCGCAGCACTGGAGCTGCTCTCTTGTCTCCGCTGGACTGGGGCTCAGGGTTTTGAGGAAGAAGCACCTGGCTCCTTAGTTCTCAGGCTCTAGGTTGATGTACTAGCTAGTGGCTCCACTAGCTCAATGAATCCACTAGGTGAGTAAACAAAGCCTGCCAGTTTCCCACACAGGCGTCTTTCTCAGCACAGCCCCACACAGATATGAGAAAGCCATTATTTAATCTGCCAATGCCTTACAGCGGTTCCTGCAATTACCAGTAAGTTTCATTGCAACACACATACATCACGGTGGCCAAAGCCCACGCACCTACTATTCCTAAAAGGCAAATGTCAGCCATAAAGTCCGTCAGCACGCACCCAGACCTCCGTTTCATAGTTAATTTATGAAATTTTTCTTGTAGGGAAAACATTCAATGGATTACACCCTGTGTCCAATTTCTTTAAGTTCTGCGTGTGTCCAGCAGGAGCCTCGCCCACACCTCGGGGTCCTGGCTTCCAAGTATTGCAGGCTGGACAGGGAAAATCAGGGCGCACTGCCCATCTTTCCGGACTTCTGGCCACACTTGAGCGTTACTAATGGTGTCAGAGGGCGTCGGAGACGCTGGCTGTCCTGCACACGTTGGTGACTCGAGCCCAGGCCGCGCGGGGGAATCACAGCTGCGTGAGCGCTGCTCTCTAACGACGAGCAAGCGACACAACGTAAGATGCGGATCCCGCTCTGAATCTCATTTCGGCATCTTGCATAACGTTCGTTACCAGGCAGGATTTTCAAACAAAAATAATCGTCCTCGCATAATTCTCTAGGAAACTGACTGGCTCCCCCTGCCCTCCAAAAAGCAGGCGGCATCTCCACACCCGGGCAGGGCAGGGCGGGGCAGGGCCTGGCGATGCGCGCGGATCAATCGTAGGGAGCGGAGGGGTGGGCGCGCCAGCCGCCGGCCTCGCCTGCCCTCGGCGCCCCAGGCCTGCGCCCCGCAATGGAGCGCGGGCACAGCTGCGGGGGAATCCGCTACCGGGAGCCGGACCTGCGGGACGCGCCTTCTCCTCCCGCCCTCAACCCGAGCTCACTGTTTCACCTTATTGTATTGCAGGCTCCCCCACCCCTTTCTGGGCTAAGGAGAGAGAAATAATCCAATCGATCCGGATTTTTTTCTCCCGGTCTAAATTTAAATACAGTCGCCAGGGCAAGGCGGGTTAGAGGCTGCGAGGGCGGGCGGCGCGATCTCTCCGGCCCCGCGAGCTGGGGACCGAGGACGAAATGCTGGGGACCGTGGGTGCGCGTGTGTGCCCGTGCGTGTGTGCGCGTGTGAGTGCGCGCGTGGGTGCATCCCTCCCAGGCCGGGGAAGGAAGGATCCGCGAGGCAGGAGGGAAGGGGAAGGCGCCACCCACCCGCGAGGCACCCGCCGCCCCGCGCCCCTGCCCGGCCCGGCGCCAGCGAGGCCCGGCCCGCACTTACCCGGCCCCGGCGGGGTGGCGGACGCCCCGGGCGTCCCTGGCCGCTCGTCCTCGGCCTCCGTGCGCTGCTTCTGCTGCTGCTGCCGGATGAGGCTGAGGTCGGAGCGGCCGAGCTCGGCGCCCGCGGCCGCGGGGAGCTGCAGCGCCCGCAGCAGCGCGAGGACCAGGCCGAGCCGCAGGGCGCAGGGCGCGCGCGCGCCGAGCCTCGCCATGGCCGGGAGCCGCAGGCCCGCGCGGCATGTCCGCGCCGTGCGCCTCCGCCCGCTCCCCGCCGGGAGGGGGAGGCCGAGGCGGGAGTGTGCATCCGCGCTCACGTGACGCGCCGGGCGGGGCGAGCGGGGCGGGCGGGGGGCGCGCGCGGGGCGGAGGCCCAGATGCGAGATCCCAGCGCCCCGCTGGGGCCTGGAGCCTGCAAACCCTGCAGTCCCCTGAGAGACGGCGGGAAAATCTGCTGAGTGCATAAAATTCCTCCTGCCCGACCCCAAAGTAGAAAAGAAAGTTGTACATTGGTTACCCTCATGTAACACTCTTTTCCCTGTACTGGGGATTCAATTCAGGGTCTTCAGATTGAGCTCCACCCCTAGCCTGTTTATCATTCATTGATGCATTCATTTTCTTTCAAGGTTTTGTTAACTTGCCAAGATGGTACTCAGACTTGCAATCCTCCTGCCTCAGCCTAAGTGCTGGGACCGCAGGCGTGCGCCACCGTGCACACCTCTTGTAATTCATAGCCAGGCTCAAGGCATCCAACAGCCAGAGCTTCCACCGAATCGGTTGTGTTGCGTCAGCACCATCATTGCTGATGGAGAACTTGGATTGAGGCTTTCCAGATTTTGAATAAACTTCCTTTTTTTTGCCTGAGTGGGAATTCCTTGTTGCAACATAAACTAGGTTTAAGTACATTTTTTTCCCAACCGTTGCCTGCCTACACTTTTCATGGGTGCGAAAACAACTTCCCAGCACTTAGCTAGGCCTTTCCTATGTGCCAGACTTTAGTCAGGTGACTGGAAAAAGTCAAATACAATCCTGTGTTCTAAGCACACGTCATCTCTTAGAGGAGAGGAATAAACGAAATATCCAGTGTGCTGGTAACAACTGGAAAAGCATTAAAACGCTCAGAAGTTGCACAGAATTGGAAGAAACCGACTGTGCTTGGCGAGGGGGCCGTGCCCTGCTGGGGAAGTAGCATAAAAGGAATAAGAGTTCCTCGCAGAAATTGGAGAACCGGGCCATCTAAACAGCACGTGGTTTGTGTGTGTACGCGTATGTGTAAAGCCCAGACGTGTGCGCTGTACTAGCAGGATGTACTTAAAGGCGTGACCAGTAAATCTAGGGGAGGATGGACAGCTTTAAATAGAGAAAAGACTGGAAGCCAGGTCCTTAAAAATAGTCATGACACACACTTGCTCAGCACAGTACTTTCAGTGAGCCAGGCTGCCCACGAGCTGCACAAACCTCGGCGCCGCGCAGGAACTAAAGGCAGAGGGGCTTTGGGAACTTGAGCGCTGTCCTGGTCTCCAGGACCGCTCTGCTGTATTCTCCTCCAAGCTACCCTGGACCTCAGAGAAGCAAGGAAAATGGAACGCCTCCAAAACCTGATTTGTGGTTCAAAAGGAAAGGAGAGCTGCTAGGATTCCGTCCTCCTGACAAAGGTGATGGGAGGATGCGGTATCGTGTCTTAGTACAGCAGACCTGCTGCGGGGAAATCCACTGAAACCCAGCTCTTAGCAGAGGTGGACCTCAAGGCTTTCAATATCGTGGACTATTAAAAGAGAGACGTTTTGTCCCTCTTAAGCAGTTAGATGGACTTTAAATGCTTCATGATTCATACAGTTAGTGCTTAATTGCTACAATATACAAAAGCTTGATGATTGCAGGCAATCAGAGCTGGTAATTGGTGAATCCAAGAAGGTGGTCGAGATACATAAAATCAATATTTTAACTCTATCTCAAGCTACTTATTTTATCATAAAAACAAGTAAATGTACACTTACCAATCTTTTGTCAAAGGGCCAAGAATATTTCTTTGCAAAACAAGTCTGACCTGGAAAGGCAAATATCTTATGTTCTCCCTACTGTGTGGAATCTGAAACAGATGACAGGAAAGAACAAGAGAGACTCTTATTATACAAGAGGGACCTGGGCATGGTGGTGTACACCTATAATCCCAGCACTGGAGGAGGCTGAGGCAGGAGGATCATGGCCAGCCTGAGCTATAGAATGAGAGCATAGAAAGATGAGGGGGTACTGAAACTGAGGATAATAGAGACATGGATATCATCAACATATATTATGTGCATTGAAACCCAATATATTATAAATTAATAGATGTTAGTACAAGTATATTTTTAAAGGAAACAGTCTAAAAAGATGGAAATTCTAGGTATCTAACCGCATCCTAGAGTTTGAGTTGCACACCACAATTGTGACGGCACCCCTATCATTTACAGTGGGTGGAAAGAGGTCTAAACAACTCTGTCACTTTGAGTGCCCAATCCATGTACGTTTGTCCCCTCTCACGTTTTTACAATTTTCTCACACATATTAATAAATTTTGTTTCCATAGATGCAATTATTCTTCTCTGACACTCATATCTTCTTTTTTTCCTATAACACAGAACCAGCAAAGAAAAAATGGGCAGGAAAAATGACTGCCTTTCTGTGCACACACAAACCATCACGTGGGGATGAAAACAAGTGGATGCTCACGAAGACGAAGACGAATCTGCTGACCTGACAGCACTTGCGACAAAGTCAGTGCGTTTCACAGAGAGCGGGAGGTGTCAGTTAACCCCGGAAGTTATTTCCAGGTACATAATCCATGAGAATGTTCATGCTCAATATGCTGTCATCTTTAATGTCAGAAACCCCATTTCTGCAGAAACACAGGAGCCTGCTGTCTGAGCCTTCCCATTGTGATGCATCCTCTGCCTGCATCCCCACCCCTTACCTGGACCCTTCCCATAAATCCCAAGACACTACTTTTCCTCGGACCCCTTTCCTGAGATCCTTGTGCTCAGATACCCTGCCATAAGCTGACCTCGCATCCTTTATTTCCTCCCAGCACCCTAATACCTACCTGCTTGTGTCCTCACTAGTTCAGGCTCGACGGGGCCAGGACCATTGAGTTCCAGCCATGTCTCCAGCGGACCCTGATGGTTTGATTACTTAACTGAGCTTTAAGAGACAGAGTTGTCAATGGAGGAGGACAGCTCTGAAATCCGTGATCATCCTCTGATGACTCACATCAGACCTGAGACTCGGTTTCCTCATCTGTACGGCTCGAGAAATAATAGAGCCAAAAGAGGTAACATGTAAAATACTTAGGGTTTCTGCTCATAGGCACTCTTGAGTAAGTGCCACCAATTATTCCTTTTGTGCAGGCGATGTGTATTTGTTCTGCTTCATACATGAATCTTACATGTATACAAACTGGGTTTTATTATGCATTAGCTCACATAGTAAGAAGCATTTTGCAGATCTGACTGAGCATGGGACGTTCATTCTGGAGCATGGGGGCCCTCTCTGTAGACAAAATCAACTGTGTTTGCATATGCATACTCACAGTAACAATCCAAAAGTGAAACCAATTTATTAGAACACCAGAAAGAATAAATTTAACAAAATGAGTGCAAAACTTTTACTTTGGGAGTTGTAAAACTTATTCAGAAACATTGAGAGATTTAATAGAAAAATATCCCCTATCTATGGATTGGAAATTTTAAGATTGATAAAAAGACTGCACTCCCTAAATTGATCTGTATAATCAACACAGTGCTTTTTGCAATCCCAGGTCACTCTTTTCTGGCAACTGCAAGCCGATTCTAAAATTCATACGTAATTCTGAACCGCAAAAGCAATCCCAAATATAAAGAACAAAAAGACTCACACTACCTGATTTCAAAATGGAAATGAAGACACTATTACGCTGGCTTAAAGAATAGACCTATTGATGATTAGGAAACAGTTGAGACTATAAAATTACACCTGTTTGTCCATGGCTGACTGATCCACCACAAGACTACCAAAGCATTTAGTGAAAGGAAACAGTCTTGTGGACTAGTGATGCTGGGGAACTGGACAGCCGTGTGCAGAAGGATGAAACTGGATCCCTCACATCACTTACAAAATCAGCTCAAATTGGATCAAAGACCTGAATGTAAAAGTTAAAATTTCAAAACTCTTAGAAGAAGAAACACAGGAATGATTCTTCCTGGCCTTGGATTCAGCAGTGGTTTCTTAGTCTCACACCCAAAGCCCAAAGGACAAGAACAGCCATAAAATATATAAACTGTACTTTATTAAACTTAAAACTTTTGTACATCAAACACTATCGAGAAAGTAAAAAGACACATTGGGTGAAAGTATGTATAAATCATGTATCTGGTAAAAGCCCTGGAGCAGGAGAATTGGACTTTTAGAATTAACAAAAAAAAAAAAAAAAAAAAAGACAAACCAATTTTTTTTAAAAAAGCAAAGGATTTGAATAGTCATTTTTCTTTTTCTTTTTTTTTTTTTTTGTTTTTGTCTTTTTCATTTTTATCGGTACCGGGGATCGAACTCACGACTGCCTGCTTGCAAGGCAGGTGCTTATGCCGCTGAGCTAAATCCCCAGCCCCTTGAATAGTCATTTTTCCAGAAAAGGACTAAAAATGGCCAAAAAGCACACACAAAGATGCGCAGTATTATCAGTTACAAGGAACCGCAATTCAAAAGCACAAAGAGTTGCCTCTTCCCATCTGCTGGGACAACTATGAGAACTAAAAACCATAAAATAACAAGCACTGGTGAGACTGGTGAGACTGGTGAGACTGGTGAGCCCTCATTCATGGTTTGAAAAGTAAAACAATACAGCCACTTTCGAAAGCCAGCAGTTTGTTCAAAGGGAAAGAGATAGAATTACCCGATGAGCCAGGCACCCTATTTCTGCATGTGTACGCTAAAGAAGTGCAAACAGGTGTTAAACAAAAGGCTCAGCACACATGGTCACAGTGGTGGTACTGTGCCAGGGGGGAAATAGCCAGGGCGGAAATAACCCAATAGTCAGCAACAGAACGGACAAGCATGACATAGAGTGTAGGGGATTGGTAACTGGAGGTCATTAAACACCAGCTGAACTGAATCAGCGCGGTGCTGAGGACGGATGGCCCACCTGAGGGCTGTTGCCAGCATAAAAAGGAGACCTGGAAAGGCAGAGTAGCGCTGTGGCTTCTCCTAAGTGGCGTTGTTGTTTAGAGCCATTGAGTCTCCTGGCAGAGCTTGTCATGCTGGCTCCCCTGACATGAACTCGGCTGTTGTCATTAGAGGAGCTTGGGGCCTTCTTGCTGAGAGTGGCTGCAGTTCACTTTGGGGGAGCTCTGGTTCTTACTTCTACACTCTTAACTGCACTGTTCAAAGAGGAACCCATTTATAAGCTTCTAGAATTTTGGGGGTGCATTTACAAATACTCTTCACAAGGCCAAGAGTAATTTCTGTTACTCTGGCAGAGAGCAGAATTATCTACATTAAACACTGATACTTATGATACTCATCATTTTGCACGTTGGGGAGAAGCTGTAATAACTGGTCAATACGCTCCACATAGGATTGTCAAAAAGTAATTCCTGAAGAGTCCTACTCCAGCACCCTCAAAAATGGAGCACTAATGCTTTGGAATGGAATACTTTGAAATAAATGGTGCTCTTAATATGTGATGTTAAATTACCGTGTTAAATCCAAATTCAAAATACAGGCACTACTTCTATGAAAACAATTTCTGTTTCTTTATGCTTCACGAAATTGGCCGACTGGGTATAAGACAGAACTTAACCATGGTGCTTTCTAGGGGATTTAGAACATTAGAGAGTGAATAAAAATATTATTTGAAAAATAATATTGACACATCTCAGTCTACTCACCGGATAATAACAAATCCATTTTATAAATTATAGACAGCATTGCACAGCAAAATGTGTATTGGGCCAGGAGTTTGAATCCTGCCTTTGAATCCAGCTTTGGGCATGCAATAAAGTCCAGGCACTGCTTACCCTTCAATGGGCTGAAGCCGGGTTCTAACCTGTGGTTTTCAAGTTTAACCAAAAGGTGCCTTCAAAATTTTGATTTTTTGTCTTCTTTGAGGTTCACTGGGCTTCCAGAAATTGTAAATTGTAAGTTGGTATTTTTAAAAATCAAATTTGAGAATTTGAGAAATTTGAGAATTTCTTTTAGCTTCAAATAACTTCAAACAATTTACCATTTTTTGAGACTCTTCCACAAAGTTAGATTCTCCCCAAAGTCAAGTCTATTTTTGTTTTTGGCAATCGTGTGTGTGTGTGTGTGTGTGTGTGTGTGTGTGTAAATTTGGATAAATACTATTGACTCATCTCTAAATTTGTCCTTTTATTCCACCCACTCTTTTAATCCCCCTCCAATGGATTTTTTTTTTTTTTTTTTTTTTTTTGTAATGGGGACTAAACTCATGACCTCACGTTTGCCAAGAGGTGCTAATGCCACTGAGGTAATCCCTCTGCCAGATATAATTTGAAACCTAAAATTTCCATCTGGGTCTCTGGTGTTAGTTTCCAAATCTCTCCTAAAATGCCCACCTCTTTCTTTCCCCATTGTATTCAGGCTTTATTATGAACTCTCATATTGTTCTTTAAAGTCATACCTGCTAATTTATTTGTTTCTATGACTGGTTTTTCTCAGGACTGCAGCTATTTCTCGTGTTCCTATTTCTTCCCTTGTATGCACACACACACACTGTGGACTCTGGACTGTGTTATCTTCCTCTACTGCCTTTACCCAGATAGTTCCATCACGGGAAACTCACTTGATTTGAGGAAGCTTGGTTTCATGCTTTGTCAAACTGGGCCTATTTTAAAGATTTTAACCTTTTGTTCTAGGGAGAGTTAATGGATCTTGAGATGCACTATTTACTCCCAAGGCAGAGGTTTAATGGAGGTTTGGAAAAGACTGGGGTTTTTCTAAGAATGTGTCTGTGTAAGAGTTGAACTCCAATTTTTGTTTCTCCCATAGTGGAATGAATCCTACCCTTCCAGCCTTTGGCTTGCTGCTCTTTTTGGGCACCCTGGAGCCTCCCTGATTTGCACATGCACAGTTCAGGGGTCACCCAGGCGTGGGGGGCACATTTCTCCCTCCCTACTGTGGTTGCCTCCTTTTCTGGCGTTCCCACCTGAGTTTCTAGTCACAGTGAGTACCCCAAGTCACAGACGAACATACAACTTTTTACACAGGCTGGGTTTCCTTTATCTGAAAGGCCTGGCACCAAATCTGGCTCCGATTTCAGAGGTTTTTCAGTTTTTGGAATATCTGCATAAACTTTTTGGTAAAGTAAAGCATGGCAGCCTGCTCAGAAAGCCTCAGATTTTGGAGATTTGGGGTTGGGGGTTCTGGATTAGGAATGTTCAACTTGTAGAACTGCAGATGCATACGAAGTCAGGAAACAAAGAAATGTGGATTTTAGTAATAATCTGACAAGATGAAAATAAACGTTACGTGACAAAAGAAGTAATTATTTAAAAATGAAAAGACTCTTAGATTTCAAGCAAACACACATTTATTTTTCTCAGCGGGTATTTTAACACCTGATTCCCTTTGCTTTTTTGTTTTCTTCAAATGAGCAGCACTCTTAAGAACTTTTAGAGAAGTATGTCACTTTGAGGTCACACTTTCTGTGCATGATAGCTGGCTCATGTGATTAAAAACCAATGCAATAGGCTGGGGATTTAGCTCAGTGGCTCAAGCACTTGACTGGTAAATGCAAGGTCATGAGTTTGATCCCTGGTACCAAAAAGAAAAAAAGCAAAACACTACAGAAGGAAGGATGAAACCCACACACAAAGTGACACCATTCGATCCAGTTTATTGTACAGTCACAAGTTACACAGCGGAAACTGAGCAGAGCCCTGCATCAGCTTTCACTCACTGAATCCAAGTTAGCAAATGACAGATTGGAGAACAAACTCATTGTAGGTCCTACCCAATGTGGGTGACCAGAAGAGAAGCTAAGATAATTACTTTCTATGTTAGCAAATTAATTTGAGACACATAGCTTCCAACCTGTCTTCAGAGATTTCAAAGTGTTTCAAAGTTGTTAAGGCATAGTTCATAGTTCATATCCAGCCTGAAATAAAATGTAGAATGGACCCTTTGAGGGGTAAATCATTTCACTTGTATATGTACAGCAGAATCACTCTTTCCTGTAATCAAAAATACTAATACATCTCGGTTCAGATTAGGCTTACTAAATTAATGATGACTTTGATATGATCTAGGTTTAATTGTTATATTGCACTTGAGAATGACAACAAAAATCAAAGATTCAGTACCTCTCTCTAAAGGATCATTGTGTAACAGAAATTACAAAGAAATATTAAGTATACACCGCATGCTGCCAAATCATAGGTTCATTATTCAAATTAGCCAAGCAACAAGTTAAAAGGGACATTTTTCAAAGTACTGAGTATTTAGTAATTTTATTGACCTTTTTGGATCCTATACATAATTTCCGAATTCTCCCTTTATAAATCATTTATCAAATGACTTTATATATATGCTATTCATAAGTACAATCAAGGTGACACAAACAGGTAAAAGCCACACGCAGGTACCCCAAGGACACCGTATCCTTCTCCACCTGTATTCATCACGACATTCTGCAAGACAGTAACACGTATTAACTTACACATTCTGTCTGCTTACAGAAAGCAACCAATCTATCACATACGGTATGTCTGCCACGTAATCTCCCTTAGAGTCATGATTTACTATCTAGAATATTTCACACTCGTGTTAAGAAGCCAGTAAAGTCTCTCTTACTAACACTTGAAGCTTCTCCTTATATAAAGGATTACATTCATGAGAATTAACTATTAGTAATTTCGTAAGAGATGGAACTGTGCCAATGTTTTGACTAATTGCTTTGCCTTTCAGAATCATGAGGAACTTTGAATCAGAATTAAGATGACAATTAATCACAAGCGAAAAGAGAAGAAAAATGACCCTCACACAAATGTTTCTCAGAATATCAGTTCTGAAATAAGTACCTCTATAAGAAATCAGCATTAATGTCAGTATTTCTCATTTACCTCAAATGCTTTAATAGGCTCTCGCTTACTCATTTTTTAAAAATTGAATCATCATGGCAATTTTATGCTTCAAATTTTAATCTCAGCAAGTCACAACTATAGTACTACTGAAAATGTCTAGTGATTAAAATAGATTTCATAAAACTATTTTTGATATTTAGTAAAGTATACTCATATGTTACTTTAAGGTAAAAGGAATCTCAGCATTTTCCTCAGAGAGCAAACTTTCAAATTATACTCCATATTTTTATTGAGAAATATTTTCATTTTTGAAAGAAAAATCTCTAACAATACTTAAAACTGCACTTTATAAAGACAATTTAAAACACTGTGGTAATTGTAATATATTTAAATCTCAATAGATTATTCCTTGGTATAGAGGCCATAAAAGTAAGACAGTGCAAAACAAAATACTGACACTTTTGTCAAAGAGTAAATTTCTATCTGATGGGTATTTTCAGAAACAAAGCTATTAGAAAGGAAACAAAACAAGGTAAGACTTGCTACAGAGCAACTTAGTGACTGTCTGGTGGTAGGTGACACCTGACCCTAGGAAAAAAGTATTTTTTTCTAAAAATGTAAATCTACTGATGATAAAAAATACTTATTGGACATGACTACGATCTCTCAAACTACTAATAAATTTTATACTCTGAAACCCATTAATTTTAAAATTCACTACAGCTAACTACAGGGTCTTTCTAGGCTGTGATTTATGCAATTCATCTAAATGTGTTTCTATTTTATAAAAATATTCTCCAGGTCGGCTCAGCCACTTGTGCATGGAATTACAGCACACGATAAATTTCAATTATTTTTAAAACATAGAAAAATAGTCAATTATTTAAGGGAAACATTTAACATTGCCTAGTAAGGATGGCAGTTAAGAAGCTATTAAACTCTCAATTTCTTGTGTACAACATGATGTAATTGCACAAAAATAGATATAATTGATAGTCATTCCTAGATCCTGCGAATTGCAAATGAATCACATATACCATGCATATAAAACTACTTGTCACCTATGCTGCTTTTATTAAAAACTCTAGAGAAGTAATTTATGTTAAAAACCTAAGAACACTTTAAAAGTTTTTCAGTAACTTGAACTGCCTAGAAGAGTACCTTTTAGCAGTTATTCTGAGAGCTGAGGCTAGTTTTGGACATGGCTTTGCTTAAACTGAGGCACCGTCTGCATGGGTGGCACTGTGCTTGGGCTAGGAGGCACCCAGGGGGCCACAGTTCTAGTTTAGGGAAGCTCTCATGAGGTGAGGGCAGGGATCTAGGTTCCTGCACGTTACAAAAATGATCTCAACCTGTTTGCTCTCAGTAAAGCTTCAGAATTATAAGAAAAAAAATACAGACATGGGAGGAAAATAAATTAATACCAACTAAAAGCTCTGCTCTCATTTAAGAACTATTAATAACCAAAGAACTACAAGCAGACATAATTACATAATTAAAATGCTTCCTTTTTTTGAATTGAAAATAACCAGACAAAAACAATGGAATAGATGTAGTTTGGAAACAATTTCCAACTCCATATGGCTTTAAGCATCCTAGGTAGCTGAAATTAAACTATTACGCGAAAAAAGGAATTTTGATTATAGAATCAATCTTCAATATAAGGTGGTTTAAACGATGATGGAGAATTTAAATTATACAAGTTAAATGCAAATAAAATAGACTGCAGATTAAATATAAATAAAAAGTTAACACCATGTATACAATCTGCATATTCAAATATTGTACCGTTGCTGTTACTGGAAAGAAATCAATTTTTTCCCAGTGCTGAGGCTGAACTCGGGGCCGTGCAGGTCTGAGGAAGTGCTCGGCCCCTTAAATACACTTGCATGCTCTGGGATGGAATCGCAGTGGTAGTACATGGTTATTAAGAACTTCCACCCGTAAGTGATATTAAAACCTAAATTCATGCAATCACAAAGTAGCTCGGAAAGTTGACTCTGTAGTGTAATGTCTATCAGCACTGAGTACCTGCACAAAAAAGAGGGCACTCAGGTGCAAGGATGGATTGCTTTCAAACTTCTGCAACAAACAGTGGAAGGCAACATGCGAGCTCAGAAGCAGGAACTGCAGGAAGCACTGTTTTATATAAAGTAGTAACTCAGGCACTTTCTGCCCTCGGTACACTGAGTGAGAACCATCGCTGAACATTTCATCATTTAAATATCTAAAAATAGAAGCCAGGGCACCCATGTTAACTGTATGTCTGAACTTATTTATAACAAGAAGACTGATAGATATTGCTTTCTAGGTTGTGGTTAAACTGAGGCCGCGGGGTAGGATTAGCAGTCCAGTCTGGGAATTTCATTCCTCATGAAGGAGTTGTAAATTTGCAATCAAGTTGTTAATCCTAATGAATTGGGATGTGGTGCGATTTAAAAGTCACAATTAAGCTTCTGAGTTCCCTTCCCCATTTTCTTGAGGCTGTAGCTGCTCCCTCTCTTGTTCTTCTTGAGGCGGCCGGACACGTTTAAAAAAGCCCATCTGTGGAATTGAAACCAAAAGGCCAACCTTAATTTCACATCATAGAGGATATATATATAATAGTATCTCCTGAGTGGCTATATTATCACTGTCATGGTTTGCAGCGAGGTGTCCCTCAAGGCCTCATGTGGTCACAGGGTTTTTCAGAGGTGGCTGAATCTGGAGTGTGTGACTGTTTCCCAGTGCAATGCTAGAATTAAGAATGCTGGGACTAACGGTAGACGATTTTTGGATCGATCCCCTGATTGATCGGCACCATCCTAATCCCGGTAGACTGCATATAAAGTAAGAGACAGAGAGAGGCTTGTCTTGCTCTCTCGGTTTTTCTGCCCTCTGCCACTGTGAACCGCTGCCCCTCTGACCTGTGCCACCTGCCTTGGGGCCAGTCAACTATGGACGGAAACCTCCTCAAACTGTGAGCTAAATAAACCTTTCCCCTTTTAAGGTTGGTGTCAAGTTTTTGTGAGAGAAAAGTAACTAAGACAATGACCAAGAAAACTTAACTGGTACTTTGTGTAATTTCTCTTCCTTTGAATAATAATCAATCTTATCATGTACTGTAGTAGGTCCTTTTCTTCCTCCCTTATTTCTTTTCATTCTTGTTTGCCTCCTCCCTTTCCTCCTCTTCTGTTTCCTCCCTCTCCCTGCTCCACCCTCCTTCTGTTTGTCACTCACCCTGTACATCACGAACACCAGCACCGCCAGTAGCAATAGTCCTGCTAGAACTGCTAAAATGATCACCCACACGGGCACAGGCATAGGTGTGGGCTGAAGACCCCAGGTGACATTAGTGGTAACCTGTTGGGAGAAAAACTATTTAGTATTTAAAATAATTAGCTGGTTTAAATACCTGAGTGCCTATTAAATTTTATTCTACTGGTATTCACACCGTATTTTTTCCTTACGATGACTCAGTAATTACACATTGCTGTCACAGCATGGACAGGCAAGCAGGAAATTCCCAACCAAGGATAAGTCCTGTGTGCATCTGCAAAGACTTTCAACTAATCCAACCCAGTTTATGATGGTGTATTTCACTTTGAATCCTTAAGCATTTTCAAAATGCCTTGACTTGTTGCAGTTCATTTCCAACTTTCTAACTTTACGAGGAGGAAATATCCTAAAAGAGCCCCAAAGTAAATTAGTATGGTCAAGATGCTAAAAGGTCTAGTCTTAACAGTTCTAGATATGAGGAAGAAAGTAACTGATATTATACAAGGTTATAATCCTGTCGGACAACTCTGTTCTTTTAAATGGTTGAAACAGTTAAATATCCATTTTTTAAAAAAACCAAATACAGTCATCAAAGGCATTTCAAGACAGTGCATTCATTCCCTCTCCCTAAGTCCACGACTTACCACGGTGGAGTTGGAGATGTCCTCAATGGGGAGGTTCTTATAAGGGAACTCTATGACGCTGAACGAAGCAGATGACTTCAGAGAATAGGAATGATTCTGGTTTTCCTTCTGCAGGGATAGGACCAGGAGGTGATTTCTCAGCTGCCAGGCCCTTCTGACTTCCCGGGGGGACTGTCTGCTGAGCACCACATCCACCTACTTACGTTCATGAAGGTCTCAGTCCACAGCAGAGACTTCACATAGAGGATGGCACTCTTCCCTCTGTCCAGTCGCCCCACCTGGCAGATGATCTTCAAACACTGAGCGACTCCACAGCCCTGTGAGAGAAAAGCGTCCCTCACAAGGAAAGTTCACTCTACCACCACATTCCTGTTTGAGTATGAGGTGATTTGTTTTACTCTTTTTCTTTAAAGACCAAAGAGAGAAGATCTCAGTTCTTTCGTCTTAGAAGTATGCTGTTTAAAAAGGCTGATTAATGAAGTATACACTTTTTGTTATCAAGGGGCTAGTTTTAATGTGATTTATTACAGAAGAACAATCTATAATCCTCATCCATGAAGCAGTACCACCAACTGATGAAGAGGAATAGAAATGAGGAGAGGAACAGAATGACAAGGGGCATCTCTGTAAGAGGGTGTGAGGCTGGATGCCTTCCCTGCAAGACCATGAATGTGACAACAGGTGTCCACCCATGCCACTAATACTCAGCGCTGCACAGAAGGTTCTAGCTAACACAATTAGGCCACCCCATCATACAAAGACACAGAGAAGCTATCTCTTTACAGAAGACAGGGTCTAGAGGACACTAAGTAATCCATACTAAAACTAATCAAGTATTAATTAATAAGCACAAAAGGGGAGAATCAATACACAGATACACACTGGAAATTAAAATTTCAAAAGTAAGAAAAATCTATTTAAAACAGGATCCAAAAGAACAAAATACACAGAATTAGTATCACTAAGGAAGTATAAAACCAGAGCACTGAAAACTATAGAGCATTTTAGAAAGAAATTAAAGAAGACCTACCTAAATAGAAAGCCTGTGTTCACTGACAGAAGATGTGTTATTAAGATGACAACACTTCCCAAATTGATAGTCAGACTCAACAAAATTACTCTCCAGAGTCCAGGTACCTTTTTTAAAGTAATGGATGAACAGATCCTAAAATTCATATGGAGTTGCAAGAAACCAAGCAGCCCAAACAGTTCTGAAAAAGAAACACTGGTACCTGCTCCTCACCTCCCAACTTCCTAATTTACCACTGAGCTACTGTGGTGAAAATAATTTTGATATTGGCATCAGAACGCACATATAGGACAATGAAACAAATGACAGTAAGAGGGAAATCTGGCGTGAAGAGAGATTATTAAGGATGGGCAAGGGTGGTGAGGAGGAGAAGGGTGGACAGACATAACTATGTGTGCATGTACGGGCGTATCACAGTGCATTCCACTAATCTGTACAACGAATACCTATTAATAAGTTTACAACATAGAATTGAAATGAAATTGTGTGTTATGTTTAATTTTTTTTTCAACAAAGTGCCAGAATAACTTAAGGGGACAGAGAAGACAGTTTTTTTCAGAAAATGATGCTAGGGAAAGAGAATAGTCCTATGCAAAAGAATAAATCTAGGCCCCTACCTCACACCACATACAAACATTAACTCAGAATGAAGCAGAGCTGTACATGTAAGAGCTGTAAGCGTGGAACTCAGAAAACTAGAAAAATCTAAGTGTAAAACTTCATGATCTAGGCTTAAACGATTTTTTTCCTAATATGACAATAAAAGTCTGAGTAAATAAGATTTTAAAACTTTTGTGCATTAAACATACTATCAAAAAATGAAAAAACAAGTCACATGGAATAAAAGGAAATCTGTGCAAATATATATTTGATAACAGTAATAACCATAATATGCATGAACTTTTTACAACTCAATAAAAAACAAACCAATCTAAAAGTGGGCAAAGAATTTGAAACCCCAATCAGGATAAACTAATGAAAACACATGGAATATCACTGGTTAGAAGCCACAAATGAAAATCACAATGAAATATATCTTCACACCAACTGGGACAAGTATGAATGAACAAAAGCAGATAATAATTGCAACCATCGTATATTCATGCTTGGAAAATAGTTCTTAAAAAGTTAAACACAAAGGTTCCAAACGACCCAGCAATCCCACTGCTTAGCTTATTCCCAAGGAGACTTTTGGAGGCATGTCTATAGCAGCATGGCAAAACGTGGAAACAATCTTAGTATCCACCAAATTTATGAGTGGGTAAGCCAAAAGCAGTGAGTGGTCCACAGGACGGACCACTACTCAGATGGAAAAATGCATCAAGTACCAAAACACGGATGATCCCTGAAAGTATGCTTAGAAGCCAGGCACAGCAGGACCCCTCTGGTATCCATGAGACCCCCATCTACAACAGGCAAAGCAGTGGGGCCCAGAAGCAGCTTAGTGGTGCCCAGGGGCTGGCAGTGAAAGACACTGGGAAGCAACTTCTTCATACGCCCAGCATTACTTTCTGGAGTCATAGAAATGTTTTCAAATTACATTGATTCATGGGGCACAGTGTTGGAAATATACTCAAAACTGCTATATGATATGCTTATTTTCATTTTTGAAATAAGTAATTCTTGACAGAGAGGGCAGGGTCAAAAGTGAGTTTGGGGGTGTAGAAGGGGGCAGTTGTTACTGCACGCGCCCTCTGCTAGGACCTGACACTTCTGGACACCAGAAGGAGACAGAGAGTCAGTCACAGGGAGCGCAGGACAGAGAGTGTGGAGGAGGAGGAGCAGCGCTCCTCAAGGCTGTGACGCACACGTGCCTGAGGCTGTCTGTTCAGTGGAAAGCAAAGTGGGAACTGGGAGAAGCACATGAAAAAGAGAGGACATGCAGACAGAGAGGCGGGGAAGGCCTAGATCAGGCTGCACCTCAAGATAACTGTACGTTCTGGCTATTTATTTTTCATTACATGGGCAGGCACTGGGGTGACCTGACCTCACTCGTATTTAAAGGATCACTGTGACTTCTGCATGGTAAATGAACTGCAACGGGGAAGAGGCAGCAATAGAAAGGGCTTGGCAAGTCCAGTGAGAGAGGAGGCGGCCGAGGTGAGGGGACAGTGGCTGAGCTGTGACAAGGGGACATCAATCTGCAGCATTTTGGAAAGTAGGTAACGGTAGGATTTGTTGGACTGTAGGCTGTGGGGTGCGAGTTTTAGAGAATCGCACTGCTATTAACTAACTACAGACCACTGTGGAAAGAGCAGAGCTGGGAAAGCTCAAGGTATTCTAGAGTGAGGTCTGCAGTTTCCTCCCTAGGAGGCATCCTAGGAGGCAGCTGAGGGGCTGGAGCTCAATGCAGAGGATCCGGCCGGAGACAAAACCTGACGGCCTCTGCCCTGGACGGTACCGAGAGCCACGAGGCTAGGAAGATCGGGCAGTGCAGCACTGCCCTCTGCGATGATGGAACCGACCCATCAGTGCAGGGATGTCTGCGCCACAGTGAGATGCACACTGGCCTCTTGAGGCTGCTGAACACTTGAGACCGGCCTGGTTCACACTCCCAGACTGCACCATGCTAGTGAGTGAATGGAGGAAAAGCAGAGAGGAAACTGGGGACCTGAGCCCGGGATACTCTGGGGTTAAAGGTCTGAAAATGGAAACTAAGAAGACAGAGGCAGAAGGTGGAGGATGTGCTGAGAATGGTGATGCCGGGTGATTCGGTGACCCCAAGTCCCTGAGGGGTTGACCTGGATGAGGATGGAGGACCCCACAATCCAGAGGCATGGCCGTAATCAGTTGCTACTGATTAGAAACATGACACCAGGTTCCCTACTCAGGGATGGTTTGCAGAGCTGTTCATTTTCAAAAAGTTACAGGACATAAGTTATTGCTCAGTATGACTTCTCAGTTCAGAAAGAGGTCAGATACAGGACTGCAGTAAAAAAAAATTAGAACATAAAATATCTTAATTAGCTGTCTAAGGAAGAGAAGACTTGAAAACGTGGATTAATTTGAGTCAGAAAAAGGAAGGTAAGATGACTGAATAGTGTAAAAATAAATGCAGTTCTTTTTTGTCAGCTCAGCTGCTGTTATTTTTGAAAAGTTCTTTGGCATCAGTGCTGCTGTCACGTCTGTGAAATGTCCCTGCCACCGTGTACTTGCAATGGCACTTACCAAAGTGTGAACATCGCCCTCGCTAAGGGCGAGATCCCGCTTGACGATGAGATGGTTCCCGTCGCCTTGCCCAGCGCCTGTGTCATTCTTCTCAGTCGCCTGTGAAGATGAGACCTGGAGTGCAGAGTCAAGCACACTGTGAGCACGGTGGAAACCATGGTGCACTGACACAGTCAGCTGAAGCGCCAGGTCTGAGAAACCCCGGTATGTGCAATTGGGGACGGTAAAAATTCATCACTTAGTAGGTGGTGAGTGGCGAGCACAGAAAATAAAGATTAAAGCTCTTAATTATCCCCAGAAAGTTAGCTGTCCCTAGCCATGATTTCTCTGATTGCAGAGTCAGAGGGGAACGTGAGGAAAGCATATGCAATGAAAAGCCTGGAACTCCACGGTACATCTGTAGTGAGTCTCCATTACAAATGCACATTTATTTCGTCTTAACTCTCCTTAGAACACACTGCACAACAGCTTCTTGTGCAAATATCTGTACTAGGATGGAGAGGACTATGTCCAAAATATGTATCATTCTATCAAATGACGTTTTCCTAGGTCAGGTAAAACAAGCATCACAATTAATGGTACATGAGGGGCTGGGGATTTGGCTCAGTGGCATAAGCGTCTGCCTGCCAAACGCGAGGTTGTGAGCTCGATCCCTCGTACCAAAAAAAAAAAAAAAAAAAAAAAAAAAAAAAGTACATGCTTATTCCAAAGACAGCAATTCCAACACACAACAGCCTAATGGCATATTGTACATTGACATAAACTTCAGTGGGACCAAAATCAAACTGGATCCCTTAAAATTTTCACCCGAGGCTTACCTAGCACTCCATAAATATAAGGTTCACTGAACGCCACAGAATTAATTGACCCATTTTATGGATAACCTAATTCTTCACATAGTGGTTACCATGTGAAATCGTTTTACAGAATCTGTGTATTAGAATAGTTAAGTTTCTCTAAGTCTAGAAAGACAGCAGGAAAACAACATCGTAGGGAAGAGCTGCTGCCCAGCACATCACCTGAATTCTCAAAGGGTTGATCTCCATGTCCGAAGTGCAGTTCATGGGTCCATCGATGTCATAATGAAGGATGTACAACAAGGTGTTATTGTTGTATCTGTAGGGCCACTGCAGATTTAGCATTGCCTTGCTGAATGAACTCGGACCATTGTTTCTCAGCTAATAAGGAAAAGGAAGTGTAAACACCAGGGCAGAAATGTATTCTATGACTCTTTTCCTTCATCAACTTTAGAAATCACATCCATAGCAGGACTGGAATAACATGAGCTTTATGCAAAAAGATGAAGCTTGGGGTTTTCTGTCTTTAATAAACACAGGGATGAACAAAATAAGAGTTCAATATTAAAGAGTTAGTGATGAATGATTTAAAATCTACTTTTGCCTGTAGAAATGAAAAAATTTTGGTTATCTACTACAGGCATTTTCAGTTTCAGACAGAACTACAAAATGCTCATGGGAAAATTCCCAGTGACCTATTTCTTTTATTCAAGTAGCATGAGTTGATTTTAAACAACAAATTATATCGGTTGCTTTCATTAAACACAAAGCTACTGGGCTAAAAAACATGAATTTGTAAAGAGGGAAATTCCCAAAGAAAGCCATACTACATACTTAAATTACGCAGAGTTCACATAAAAAATGACACAGAATTGTTTTGGAAAGGCAGCTTAGCTGCTCTCTAAACCCTGCAGCCACAGACCTCATAGATGTGCTGAACGACCGGCCCCACGTCTTCCTCCGTCTCGGGCTTCTCCTTGTGCTCCCAGTTTGGAATCGGAAGAAAGATATGATCGGGACTGGAGACCCTAGATAATGACCAAAGAAAACCAACCATGAATGCTGAAATGACACAGGCAGTTCATTCTCAAAAGAACCCTCAATAGAATTCAAATGAGTAAAATCAGATCTACTTAAAAAACTCTTTTACACAAAGTGAATATACACAAAGACTGCTATCAATGCATCAACCAGGACAGGCGAGCTGGTCAGTCCTGGGTGCAAACGCTGCACACACTTCTCTGCTGAGTTTTATTGTCACGCCTTGTTCCTTTTCAGAAGATCATCAAAGGACAACTGGAGCTTTGAAACAGATCAAGGGGCTGATTTCTACAGAACTGACTGCCACAGTCAAATGGCCAGGGAGTCTCCACTGCCCAAACAGAGCCAGGGCCTTGGGAACGTTTTGAAGGCTGCACAGTAACAAAGAACCCAACCCTGTAATCAGACTGACCCACGGATCTCCACAGCGGCCAGCACAGCAAGGTCAACTCTGTAAGACACCACTGGGCTCACTCTGTCAAAAAGATTAGAGCTGAAAAGGAAAATTAAAACCCATTTAGGATTCCACGGGGCACAATTATCATCAAAATCACACACTGACAAACCCAGCAACACTAGACATGAACAAATTCAAAGTGACAAAGCCATGAAAGCCTTTAAATCAAACTATTCTTTTCATGAGCATTTAATTGCAAGATGATCAAGTTTTATTTCCTGATTTTTAATTTTGCTTTATAAACTCAAAGTTGAAAAATACTCATAATATAAACATTGATTTTCTTTTTTTTTTTACCGGTACTGGGGATCGAACTTAGGACCGCCTGCTTGCAAGGCAGGTGCTTATGCCACTAAGCTAAATTCTCAGCCCCTAAACATTGATTTTCATAAGCCCTATCATCAAGAACTGAAGTCTAAATTTCTATTATTCTATAATATTTAAAGTACAAGACATATATTTACAACGTTTTCTTTATAGTTATATAAGGTAACACAAGTTGTTTTTATACCTTTGGATCTGTAAATCGAATTTCACAGAAGTATCCATTTCTGATTGCTGGTGTACACTGAAACGAAGACCAGCTAAGAGCTGGAAGGCAGAAAAAAAGACGGCGATGTTAATCACTAATTTAGAATTAGAAATTACACATTTCCAATCCAATGCCAAAATTTAAAAAAAAAAAAAAAACTTACAAAAGACAGTCTTTCTGAGTTTATAATAAAAGTCAAAAAGGAGAATTAAATCTTATTTTTTGGTGTAGTTCTTAAATACAGGATCTCTCAATGTAATTCTGGCTGGCTCTGAACTCACTCTGTAGCCCAGGCTGGCCTTGAATTTGCAGCGATCCTCCTGCCTCTGCCTCCTGAGTGCTGGGCTCACAAATATTTGCCACCTTCCTAGGCTAACTCTGATTTTCTACTCAATCTTTTTTACTCAAGATATTTAAACTAATCTAACACCTGCCTAATGAACAACTATTAATCATATTTACAGCTGCCTATGATAGCAACTACCTCTCTAAAAATTCAAAAGTAAATGTTCACTGATCCAACTGCAGTGTAACAATTAGACATAAGGAGTCAACAGCGGGAAGCTGTGAGGCGACCTGGGCTAACCGGGAAGGGAGCACTGGGTGGGTGACAGGCAGAGGAGACCCTGGCACAGCAGGGTGTGGGAGGGCTGCACCAGACCTGCCCCTCACAGCTCCCAGAGCCGCCTGAGGGCTGAGCCATGACATGTGACAAAGCCAGCTTCCTGGCTCAGCCTCAGCCAGGGTGTGGGGAAGCGGGGCCCCTTCACTGAGCCCCGGGGGCCAGAGAGAGCTGGGGCGGATGGAATGAAAGGCTGGACAGCCAGCTGTGCGGTGGCACCGTGGGTACCTGTCCAAGCCCCTTTCCTGCAGGATGCCTGCACAGCCAGGATGGCTTTTCCTGCAAATCACACTGAGAGCATCGCGAGCCGCGAGGAAACACCAATCTCCATGTTACCAGTATCGGTCTGGCATCAAACGAAAGAAATTCACAGGTGAAAACCAACACAGCCCAGAATGTCCTTTTACCCAGATGCCAGGAAAAGACAAGCTGTGTTTTCTTTCCTTTTTAAAGGATTCAGAAGAGACTGTTGGATCTTTCTCTTTGAGCTCCTGTGCTCCTCGCCCCAAAAGCAACTAACAGCCTGATCCAGCTTTTTCTTTGGTCTTTTGTGTGGGACGTGTCCTACAGGTTTCAAGTTAAAACAAAACCCTATTTCTATCTCACCAAAGAATAGCAGTCCTGGAATCTGCCATAGTGGCTTCTCATGAGCCACATAAGCATCAGTTTACGATCTTTTTTTTTTTGACAAGGAAGTTTCATTATATTGCTCAGGTTGGCCTCAAATTGGAGATCCCCCTGCCTCAGCCTCCCCAGGCGCTTAGATTATACCTGTACCTGACTATACCTTGTACCTGACTAAAGCATCAGTTTAAAACACCAGTTTCTGTTCTTAAAACATGTTCTTATTCACTGACCAAAGAGCCATTTATTGCAGAGTGTATCAGAACAACCCATTATTTTTAATATCTTAGTTAAAAATAAGAGAAGTCTGCTAATTATCAAAATCTAAATAAAACCAAATTTAACGACACTATTTTGAAGGGTGTTTTATACTACTATGAACAAACCCAGAGAAGAATACTGTATTCCATGTGGGGTAGGGCAGGGAGATGGGGACATTCATTCCCTTTAAACACCTTACTTGTGTTCCAGCTTTCATGGGGTTTCCTAGGTCACACACCACCTGCCGGGTTTGATTTTCTGTCTTAAATGCACACGAAAGTCTCGCTAAAGCCTTTGAGGGACAAACAAAAAGGATATGAAAGGCAATTAGTGGCCAAAACAAAAAGCAGAAACAATGACTTTTAGTAACATGAAGTTCCTACATGATATCGAGAGCAGTTCCATATTTACATTTCTTACGGAGCAAATAAATCTACTCAAGCAAAACACAGCCTAAGAGAGGAACCAGCGGCCACGTCCACAGGGGCAAGCGCTTCCACATCATAGTGCAGCCAACAAATGCCCCGATCGTGCTTTGTCCCTCTGACCTCGTTTGCAGGCACTTTGCTAGCTATTCTAAAAACACTCCATCGATGCATTAGGCAGAGCATTAGGCTTAAGAGGAATTACGGGAAGCGGGCGCTGTCCTGCTCACTGATTTAGCCCTAGGTGGAATGGCTGGTTGTGCCCCACTGCACAGTGGAGCCGCTCGTTAATGCTAATAAGACCTGCGAGGGCACTTGGCTCTCCGGAGAGGCAGCTTGCTCACCTCGCTGTTGCGGACAACCCCGATGAAGTCGGCCTGTGGAGGGATGGCCACGATGAGCTCGGCCTCATAGGCGCCTTCCCCTTGGTTCTGAGCCTTCACGATCAATGTCAGAGGGTTGTCGTCCCCAATATAGATCTTCCTTTGATCACTGGAAGTTAAGACAAATCTAGACAGTGAAAGGAGGCTGCACAGGGAGCACATGGCTGTTCAAAGGAACGAGAGACAACTACAAAGACACCAAGGACCTGGTGGGCAGCGTCTCGGGATATCTTAAAAGCCCTGCCCAAGGCTCGACAGAAAGAAGAAAGTAGCAGGCTGGGTGCAAATCTAGTTCTTCTCTCCATAGAAGAAAACACCGGTGGCACTAATCAGTCACTGCTGCTCATATTGTGGTAGTAATTTTGTATCTCTATGCACTATTTATTGCCCGATTATTTTCTTTAAAAGCTGAATTACTTCTTTGTCATAATTTTCACAATAAACTTCTTAATTTATGTCCCATAAAATGGTAAGATATCCCTGAAGAGCATGTCCACAGTGCTCTGTAGCCAAATTAGTGGCCAAAACTAGTATCTTAGCTAAAACTTGGGGGTTGGGGGAACTAGTGAAAATAGGGCATATGCATTTTTAAGTTCATGATCAATAGTTTTACTATTATAAAATCATGCATTATTCTATTATAACTAATTCTCATTAAAATATTAATACTTATAGAATGGGGAAAGTGCCAGTCTATTTAAATTATACATGATATTTCTTATTTGGAGTAAAACTTACCTATCTACAGAAACCTCCAGCTTAGGTTTACAGATATTGTCTTCACCACAGTCAAGCAGAATATGAGCCTAAAAAAGACAGTTTTATGTTTTTTTTTCTCCATGAAAAAAAATAGCCACTAAGTTGCATACATGGTGTATATTGATATATATGTGTGTATACATAGATGCACAGATTCATATGTACTCATCAATTTGCTTGTATCCTTGGAGGCAAAAGAGACCATGGCACTTATTTATAAACAGGTCAGCGTCGCCAGTCAAGAATGGGAAAAATCAAAATTCAGAGGACACAATGCAATCACCTAGAACTTCTCGGTTTTATCTCACTTTGGCTGACAATGTACAAAGTTTGAGGTAGGAGAGAAAGCAAGTCAAGAAATAAAAAGTTCATTTTGACTCTGTTGCCAGCTGAGCTGTGTGAACTTTGGCAAAACAAGCTTCCTTCTAGAATTTCTCATAAAAAATATGGGCGCGGTGGATACGAGAGGAGGGAGCTGTAGACAAACTGCAGAGATATGGAGACCAAGAGCAGAGTGGGAGAGAAACGGCCAGAATGAGCCCAGCATGTGGGTCGCCATTCGGGAAGAAATAAAGGGACAAGAACCAAAAGCATTAACTGACTGGGACGGGTGAACAAAGCAAGAGTCCGAACTTCTTCTCCTCTGCATCTGGCCAGGAGGCTGCACCAGCCAGAGCAGTATGGGAAATCCTGAGGGGCTGGGGGAGAGGGAAGGAAGGAAGCAGGCAGAGGTGTGGGAGAGAGGACACAGCTCCCCAGAGCACCATTATATAACAGGGATCGGAACCGCCACTTTCATTAGGATGAAACCCAAAAATCCATGTGAATCAATTCAATCACTGAGACATAGGCACTTGCTCTAAGCTTCAAGAAAAAAGGAAAAATTTATGAGGATTCTTTGCCCTACCAGGTATAAACCCCTGCTCACTTAGTTCAGGAAGGAGTGGACTCTGCAGGTGATAAATGGAACGGTGATGCGGGATGCATCTGAAATTTCTGTGATTTATTAGTAAAAGGGCGGCAACTTGGCCAACTAACACTTTGCAGGGAAGAAAAGGAGCTTAACTGGCAGTGGAGGAGTAATGGTTTTAACGCGCCCTGAGGAGAGCGGGCTTCACACAGCCTCTGCCAAGCCCGCAGACACCAGTCTCTATAGCTACACACTTCACGTCCTGTACAGAAGGAGAACTCAGTATATACATATGCACTTTAAAAATGGATGAAAGTATTCTTTCTGCAGAAATCACTACCCAGTCTGCTGTTCCAAAGGATGCAGCCTTAGATCCGCTCTGCTCAACAGATGCGCCAGCAGGAAGCCACACAGGGCTTCCGAGTATGGTGGGGACACTGATGTTTACATTTATTTGACTTTGATTAATTTACATTTAAAAATGGATATTTGAATCCATGACTGAAAAGCTTTTAGCACGTTTAGAAAAACTTAATTGTATACCTGTACTTTTTCAACTGTGAATTGTATAAATTCTAAATATGCAAAAAAGTTTTTTTTTTCAAGAAAACTTAGCATCTCAGTTTATCCTCGCTCTCTGTGTAAATGGAATGTGAAATACTTCATTGGAAACTTTAAAGTTGACATGTGCAGAAATGATGATGTTTTGGATACTGTGGTGGGCTGAATTACGTGTGCCCCAAACGCCTATGCTGAAATCCTGGTTTCCAGTCACTCAGAATAAGGTTGTGCTTGGAGCTAAGTCTTTAGAGAGCTGCCGGAAGTGAGGTCGAGCTCGGCCTTCATCCAATACGGCTGACCTGTCCCTGGTAAGACAGGAATCCAGAGACACAGTGGAAAGACACCGTGAACCTGCAGAAGGTGATCACCGGCAACCCCAGGACGAAGGACTCGGAGACACCACCCTGCTCACAGCTTGACTATGGATTCCAAGCCCCAGAAGTCTGAGAAGACCAATGCCCACTATTTGAGCCACAGGGTCTGTGGTACTTTGTTAAGGTAGCCCTGGCAAACTAATACAGAGAACTTATGCAAATTAACTGCACTTGTTTTCTTTCTACCTTAAAAAAAAAAAAATCTCTAACCGCCAATCTTGAAGTTATAAATGTGGCTTGCAGTATACTTTATGTTGGGCATCTGTAATCAGCAGACAGATTGCAACAGGACAGCGTATACTATGACTAGGGAAATGAAGTGGCCATTCAGGAAGAAAGGATAAAAGTGATCGGGAAGGGGTTACCACAGAAACAAGTAACAAATGTGAAAAAAAGGTGTCTCAAAGTACACGATTTCTCCGTTGAAACAAACACAGGACACAGAAAAGGGAGAAGTCAAAATTAGCCTTTACAAGAAGCATAATACTGAATAACAGACCCTAAGAGGTTCAGGTGTTCATTATTATTTATCAAAATTTATTATCGGGCATTCACCAAATACAAGAAATGTAGACAAAGATATTTACAAGTTCTTTATTAATGGGTAGTAGAAAACTGCAAATATACTGAGATTATTCACGTGTAAAACAAGATCTTACAGTGAGTTATTAAAACAAAAATTATTTTTTAAAACTTTTATAGGTATTCTAACTTGCCTTACACTGCTGTCATTCATGTGGTTTTCTCTAGTTACCCCATCTCCCTCAGCTATACTTCGTCTTATGAAAACATCTTAAGAGGTTTTTTTAGATAGGAAGACAAAGTAAGCTGAGACAGGAAGACTGTAAGCTTAAGGCCAGCCTGGGCAATTTGCTTCCCTGTCTCAAATTAAAAAAGAGAAAGCTGGGAATGTTCCTCCCTTGCGTAGCATGCGAGAGGCCCTGGTGAATTCCTAGTAACAAAAATATAAAAACCAACCCCAAAACACACAACCCCCCCCCCGCTAGATTTAGCTTAAAGAACTCTATGAGAAAGAATTATTAATCTAAAAATATCAACATGAAATAATGGAAGGAATAGGAAACACCAATGTTTAAATATAGGTATTTGTTTTCGTTGTCTGCTTTTGGTGCTAGGGGTGGATCCCAGGGCCTGTGCACTAAGATACCTCCACAGCCCATTTTTATTTTCTTAATTTAGGCCGCAGTCTTGCTAGGTTGTGTGGCTTGCTATTTTCATTTTTTTTCTCTTTAACATAAAAATAAAATAAAATAAAGTACATACCACAAGACACAGCTGAAAGAGCTCTTTAGGTACTCTACATTGATAGAATACATTTCACTCTTTTTAAACAGTGAAAAGGGGCATCCGAGACAACAGCAGGATTAGCCTCAGGTGGTTCATGAGTTCAAGGCTGGCCCGGGTTAGTGATCTCTCAAAACACCAGAGCAAAAAAAGTAACGGAAGTATCAGAGACAGCGGTTAGCAAAGTACTCAACTTTGAGTAAGAAAGCTGGTATTTTTCCTGCATTATTTTACATGTATGAAATACGACCCTGCTCTTCTCCACACTAAGTCCTAAATGGGTTTAATTATCTCTGACTTTAAAACTCGGGCTCCCCCACTCTAACTTGGGTGCCCACGCATGGCCCCGGCCTGCGCAGAGCAATCCCTCCTCGCCACGGCTGCACACCGTACCTGCCGGCTCACGTTGGCTGGGGTGAACTGGTTGAGGATGGGCTGCAGGCCCGTGGCATCCGCCGCCGTCCTGTAATCCAGCCGGTACTCCATAAAAATGGTGATCGGAGTGAGCTTGTCTCTAAATTCAGACTCATCCTAGAAATGCAAAGGCTTCGACTTAAAGACGGCCTCCGCCTAAATTAGCCAGGGAAATCCACACCACACACCCCAAGACGGCAGTGCTCTGTGCTGAATCAATCACCTTGGATTTCAGCAAATTGAGAAAGATAAGCTTGCTGTTATCCAGTGAGTTCCTGTTTTATAATGTAATGGGGTACACACATAAAATACACGAGATGTGTTCATGTGCACTTTAGTGCACGCCTGGGCTACCATCAGGTCTGATCCCTCTGTGTTCTTTACAGGGCAACAACTACCGAGCATCAGGCTGGCCGTTTCAGGCTTGCTTCTCTATGGGACCATTTTCTATGGAAAATTTTAGACATCTTTTTGTGTCTGATGATCATCAATTTTTATATTCTCAAACTGCTGGGGGCTAGATGTACACAGAGCTGGTAAATCGAGCTTTTACTACTTTGTGTGTATCAGTAAACAACATGCTCTTCAGGTCTGCTTTTCTGAAAATCTGGGGGTTCTAGGTAGCTTGTGATCTGCTGTCTGTTGAACAGCAGATCTGTTAGAGTTCACTGATGCTTGCCGAAAGCCAAGATTAAATTTGCTGCCAACCATTTCTTCATGTAGGGTACCTCAACTTCACCATTCACTGTCAGAAGGTATGTAGGCTGTTTTGGGTGACCTTGTGCTATAACAAAAAGTGCTGCAATGATTATATTATAGAGAGGGAAAAGATTTTTCGCCTCTTTCTTAATGTGCTATTTTCTAATCTTCCTAACGACTTACACTATCATCTGCAAGGTAAATTCACATCTTGACCAACTAATAGCTGTTGATGACTTTGTTTAATTTAAAATTCTATTTCCTTATAGTTACAACTTTGTCTTTTTCATTCTTAAGCTATGAATACTTATTTGACTTCATTAAAGGCTTTTACTGTACCTCTGTAAGATGGTCGTATTTTCACATCAGTCTGTTCACGGGGTAATCCTTAATGTTACCCTACCCTAGAACTGACCTATCTGTCCTTGATGAACTGTTAAAGAGTTTAGTTCATTTGTGCCAATTTAGAAATCCTATGTGAGTATTTCTAAGTAAAACTGGCCTCAAATTCCACCTTTTTGTACTAGCATTGACCAATTTAAAGTGGTAAGAACTCCTGTGTCATAGGATGAGCTTGAAATTTTTGTTTTTCTACTTTTTTTTTGAAGGGTTTAAGATCAGAAATGTCTCATAAATCTGTCAACCACCCCTAGGCCTGGTCCAAAGTGGGGCTCTCCTGGGGGGGAGGCATCGTTCACAGGTGAGGCGTCTTCAGCTGGAGCTCTGACCATCATGGGTCAAGCCTTTGAGATGATTATGGGAGCCCAGCCCCCTTTCTCTCTCCCTTCAGCCTCCGAGGTGAGCAGCTTTGCCCTGCCAGGATGCACTTGCTTCAGAGTCAAAAAGCAACAAGGTCAACTGAGTTCTGAATGCCTCCAAAATTCTGAGCCAAAGTAAACCTTTTCTCTCCAAAGTTGATGGTCTTAGGTATCTCTTACAGTGTATAGTCTTAACATGACTATACAGTGATCTGACAGCGTGTTTTCAATGATACTGATTTCTGAATTACATTTCAGCTTCTTTGATGGGTCAATTTTTGTATTCTCTAAATGCTGCCTTCTGGTTTCTCTGCAGGTCTATTAAATCAAGCACATTAATTATACCATATCTTCCAAATCTTTACTGAGGCTTTTATCTTTTTAAAATATTCCTTTCTTTCTTTAAGTAGTTTATACAAACTGATAATTCCAATCGCTGAAGTCTTGGCAGGTGTAAAATCTGGTCTCTTCCAGGGGCTCACATCCTGGTGTGGACACTGGGGGTTCTGTTTTTGCTTCTGTTTGGCAAGGTCATGTGATGGATGCCAACCTGTGGACTCCTGGGGCAGCCACTGCATTGATGTCCCCTGGGGGCTGTGCACTGCTCCAGCTACACCCACAGTACCCACAGGAGCTTCCCTAGAGTCTGAACCCCTGGACTGGGCACTGCTCCCCTCTTTCCAAGCCCTGCCCCTGGCCAATCCTTGCTCACAACTCACAACTCAGACTTAGACGGTGCCTTACAGCTTAGACCCTGGAGGTTATGGGGATTAAGAGGCCAGCAATGTTCAGGATGAACGTTCATTATGAATCCTCCGGGCACCCCATTCTTGCAAGGCCACTCCTGACACCCAGTGTGTCAGGAGTAAAGCCCACACATCCCGAAGTCAGGTTTCACACTTCGAAATCAGATTTTCTCAAGTGCATCTTTGTTCTGTGCTTTTCGTTTTGTCTAAACACCAATTTGTAGGAAGTGGAAACTCAATTCAGTGAAAACGTAATGACTAAAGAAGGAAACAGGACAGCAGGGAGTGTCTCTTACCCGCAGATACGCCACCAGCTCCTCACACTGCTTCTGGCCCCCCCTTGAGATGGTCATGTTCTTCGAGTGGCCTGGGGACCTGTTATGGAGAAACAGTGCTCTGCGAATTGCTCCTTTGTGCTTGAGTTTATCCAAAAGAAGCTCCACCTGGAAGTCTACAGATCAAAGGGTTTATAACCAACATATTCCTACAGATGGATCCCTGCACTACGCATCTAGACTTTTCATGCAAACAGCTGTTTATTATTGACAAATAACCTGTTTCCAAATCAGACCCAGACATGGTCATGGCACTACACCACGTGAGTCCTGAAAAACTGCTTAATTGAAGAATTAATCCGGCCATTCTTCACAGAGGAATATACCTCATTCTAAGTAACAATGGTTGCAGAGACACAGCAGATAAAGACCTGTATCCTTTCATGTGAGCCCAGGGAAGGACATCAAAGCGGGAGACAGGGGTGAACTGTGTCCACCCTCACAGGGTAGGGCCACACTGCATAGCAACGCCACTTCACAGGTGCCAGGCCTGGGGTCCAAGCCCCAGGAACATTGATGACAACAACAACAGCAAAGACTTGCACTGTTCACCTGAGTCCCAGACTTGGCAACTCTGCCGCTAAAGTATCCGTGAATATGTGCCCATGCCATGCATCAGACACAAGGAAGGAGGAGCAGAGGGACCACCCGCCAACTCCAGCCAGCATAGTAAATGACCAGGTGAGTACACCCCCCTGGGATGCAAGAGGCCACAGCACAGCACAGCACATCTCGCTCACAGATAAACCTGCAGTGGGTGCTGTGTGCTGTGATACACGCCTGTAATCATCCTAGCTACTCTGGAGGCTGAGACACGAGGATCACAAATTCATGGCCAGCATGGGCAACTTAGCAGGACCTCCTCATCTCAAAATAAAAAAATTAGAAGTGCTGGGGATGTAACTCCACGGTGGAGGACTTGCTTAGCATGCATGAGACCCTGCATGTGACCCTCGGTACTGATAAAAAGAAAAAAAACGAAGAGAACTTGAAGCCCAGCTGTCAGGGCGTCCAAATTTCAGTTCTCTAAATAGGAGTTTCGTGAAAAAACAGACCAGAGTACAAATTCTTAAAACCGTAAGTTACTTTACCCCTTCATTTCAAACTCAGGTGAAACCCCAGGGTCGACTGGCTTCCTGTTCTGTTCTAGTCAGCCACGGGGCTCCCGGTCAAGTTTCTCAAACACGCCGAGCAGTCTCCTGCCTCAGCCTTCCTAGGATTGCCCTTTCCTCTGTGGCATAAGCCCCTCCAGGGGTCCTGGAGTCCCACTGTCCAGCTCAGTGCTCTCAATCTCTCTCTCTGCAGTCCTCAACAGCAATGCTTGTCACCAGGGATTTGGGGACAGGTCTTAGCTGTCATTACCTGCCACTCCAGGCATTGCTCACGTGGCTGTGTGAATTAATCTTTTGCTCCTTCTCACTGCTTGCTCCTGGGTTTTCCCCAGCTACAGGAAAACAGTGGTTTGTTTTCCCAGAATTCCCTTCTTGCACGTAACTAACTGGAGACCACCCAAGGCAGCACTGGCTACACCCTGTGTCCGTTAATAAATGTGTTAGCTCTGAACTGGCTCAAGAATTGTCCAAGAAAACAACTATCTTGCAATTTTCAATATAAGTAAATACGAGAATTCAAACATTTCTTAACACGTAACATTCATTAATAACAATTGGAATAGCTATCCAAATATCCTCCCATTTCTTTTTGTTGTTATTTCTTTTTTTGTTTCTTTGTTTAGAAACAGGGGGTCGGGCTGGGGATTTAGCTCAGCGGCATAAGCACCTGCCTTGCAAGCAGGCAGTCGTGAGTTCAATCCCTGGTACCAATAAAAAAAATAAAAAGACAAGAAACAGGGGGTCAACCCTGTTGTCCAGGCTGGCTTTAACTCATTGTGTAGCCCAGGCTGGCTTCAAACTGGACATCCTCCTTCCCCAGGCCTTTCAAGCACTGCAATTACACATGTGCACCACCATGTTCAACTCTAAAACATCTTTTTCAAGTGCCCTGTACCCAGCAGCACTAAAATAGTGTGTGTTGTTCATGAGACACTTACTGAGCTTCCTCGGAAGGACGCCTTTGCCATCCGCCTTTAAGCAGAATCTGACGTTGAAACTATAAGAAAACAGAAAAAACATGTAAATTCTACAATCCAGTTTAGGTATCACGGGCCTAACCCAGCGGTCCTGGGGGCTCAGAACCGCCCTTGGACCCCGAAGATAGGATGGTCGGTGGGTGCTCAGCTCTCTTAATAAAGGGCTACAGGGCTTGTACAGAACTCACAGACGTCCTTCCATCGCTATTAATGCGATGAGAACGCCGTACAAACAATCGTGCTGCACTGTTTGGGAAACAGTGAGGAGAAAATAAATTCTCTACCCATACGGGGCAGACACGGGTTTTTGGCATTTAAATCACACCTGGTTGAAATGGTGAATGGTTTCTACTTTGAGGCCTTGTGTCCATTACTCTGAAAACACAAAATTATTTGGGCCCATTTCACTCATCCTTCAGTAAGTTAAGTATGTTTGCTTTCTGATGAGAAAAGGCATATGCCAAGCTGCTCTCAGTTTACCAAACCTGTTCAGTTTCAATGAGGAAAATGACAGCTAGACTGGAAATAGTGCCCCACTTAGTAAAAAGCCCCGTTGAGGCACCATTTAATTGGCAAATTCCTCTGCAGAAGGGTTATTTTTTTGCAATTTCAAGACACCTCATGAAATCTGTTTAATAGGCTATGTTCAACATCTTACAAAAATTAAAGAAAATGGATGTAAGTATTGTGTTTATGGAATTATGGAGTAAAATGTTTCTTATTTTGCACCACAGTCAAAACTGTATGAAAGTTATGACTGTACTTGACAATGTACCTCCAGCCTCCTAATTTTTAGTATAATTATGAGCACGTTATGGAGACCTCACATGTAAGGTGCACAAGAGAAGAAAAGCAACAAAACTGAAAACCACAAGCCCAAAAACAACTCTGCTGCCAATCAACAGGAACGAAGAAAAAAATACCAATGTTTAGAGCAACTCAATAAAAAAATACATATATATAAAATTTTAATGGCTATAATAAAAACAAAATCAGGAAAACTCTTACACTAGCTCTTTTAAAGCAAACTGTTTTTACCATCCATCCTACTCCTTGTTAGCAATAAATTCTCTATGATTTTTTTATAAGGAATATGAATGGTATCCACTGAAGCAGGCCACTCTTGGTGATTTTAATAGTACATGGGTCAAGATCTTTCAATAATTCATCTCATATTTATTTTGACATACGTGAGAAAGACACTGGTTTCTCTGTGTTATGGTTTGTGTTTGGATGCCCCCGCCAAGCCTCATTGCAGTCAGAGGCCGATGACTTGAGTGTTTGTGACTGGTTCATTGCCTAGCACTGGGATTTGTGGTATGAGTACTACACCCACCCAAGGCTGGAGCCGGCATACAATGTAAGGGAGGGAAGGTGGTCTTTCCCCTTTTGTCCTCTTGCTCTTGTTCCTTGTGGCCATCAAGAACAGCCACCCCTCACCATGCCACTCAGCCTGGGAGCCAGCTGAGTATGGACTAAAACCTCTGCAAACTGTGAGCTAAATACACCCTTCTTTCCTTCACTTTGGGTGTCAGGTATTTTGTTCCAGCAATGAGAGAAAAGTAACCACAATTATTTTTACTTATTTTTTAAATATTCTGAGCATAAGTCAATTTGAAGAAAACTTGAAAAAACATATGCAGAATGAAAATATAGTAGAAATCATGAAAGTAGCATATGCACGACAAAGACTGGAGAGATGACACTGGACCGAAGAATTCAGACACTGGATTTAGTAATAAATGAGCCAAGAAACAAGTCAAAGACCAAACTGTTAGAGCAAGATAACTTTTCATATAGCACTTCATCATTATGAAATTTGAAAAGTCTTATCTTTTGAATTTTTAAATTTTCAAGGGCCTAATACAAAATTATATATAAAATGAATGCTAACATCTTACTAGCTTTTCCTTTTTTTGAATATACTCAATTATAGTTCTTTAAAAAGTGCATCTATACTAGTTTACGGCATATTTCCAGAGCCTTCTATGCAGCTTCTTCAGAAAATAATTTCTATAATCCAGGGTTTGACATGAAAAGAGTTGATTCATAGTTCAGCAAGCATTCAGCCCTTAAATGGCTGAATTCCAATCATAACCACAACTGTGACTGTGCAAATATTCTTACCAGGAAACTTTGAGACCGGTCCCAGGCAATGGGCAAGTTTTATTGTCCTGATTTAAAATGCTAGGGGACACTTCCAGGCCTGCATTTACAGTGATAACTGGTCTGGCCCTAGATTTAAAAAAGCAAAGGAAGGAGGAAAAACATTATAAACAATTAGATCAGTGCAAGCATTTTAGGTTCCTGTTCACCACAGGCAGGATACAATGCCCACTGAAACACTGTAACAGCAAATACAACAGGAACCTAAGACGACCAACCATGCCCATTGGCTCAAAATGTCCTAACTTCAGACCAAAAGTCCTGTGTCCTAGAAGTTGCTCGGTTCCAGGCAAAATCCAAAACTTGGCCAGCCTAGCCGAGCTCAGCCCACAGAGCAGAAGGGTTACATGCACTGTGACATTGTCCAGCTCTGCCTAACGCAACGTGATACAGCAGGAACCGGCAGTGCCACAAACTGACCTGGGCTGACATGGAACCCACTCTAGGTGCACCCAAGAGGTAATCTAATAGGAGAGGAAGAAAATCCCACAACACAGGAAAAGTGCCCACAGATATACAAGGATGCATACACACGATTTCTTTAATGTGCAAGTAGAACTTATCAATAAACTTTCTGGTAGAACTTATCAATAAACTGGAAACTGGTATTAAAAAAACATTTTTATTCCATGTTCTTTCTGTATTGTTTGAATTATTTACCATGGGAATATAACTTTATTAATAGCAATTATATAATTTATACACACACACACACACACACACACACACACACACACATGCGCACGCCCACAGAGTTGGTAGTGATGTTTTGCTTTTGTTTTTTTGAGACAGGTTGTCTCTCTATGTAGCCGGCTGACTTCTAACCCATAGTGATCCTCCTGCCTCAGCTTTCCAAGTGCTGGAGCTATGGGTATGTGGGTCACCAAACCCAGCTATTAAAAGTAATTTTAAAAGCTAACATGATAATTAATATTCAGGCTGAACATTCATAATCCACAATGCTTTAATATTCCAAAATCAGAAACTTTTAAGTACCAACACAGTACTAACAAAATGTACCAACAGAAAGTACAAAAAATGTTTCAGAATTTGAGTCTTTTCAGATTTTCAGATTAGCCATCCTCAAATTTCCTGCCTTCTGTAGGAAACACAAACGCATACACTGTTTTCTCTTTCACTGCTGGGCTGAACCCAGGGCCTCGGGCATGCGAGGCAAGGACCCTACTACTAAGCAACCTCCAGCCACCACTCACACAGTTTTTAAGGAGATTAGAAACACAGCAGGAGAGACTTTAAAACACAGGAGAAAGTCTGGACAGAATTTAAAACATAACAAGAGACAATTCTGAGTATTTCTGTTTTTGTTTTGTTTTATTTTTCTTTTTTCCAGTACCGGGGATCAAACTCACGACCGCCTGCTTGCAAGGTAGGTGCTTAGGCCACTGAGCTAAATCCCCAGCCTCTAATTCTGAGTGTTTTTCTAAATAAAAAAATCTAGTCTTCTCTTCTTTGAGACGTCCTTGTATAGAGTATGATTTGCCTACAGCAAGTCCGGAAGAAAATCAAACTGCAGTTCAAACACTGGTGCTTAACTTAAAATCTTTCAAATAATTCAGAGTATTTCTGTATTACAGAAAATGTGGAGTGTACCTGTATAGGACAGCTCGATCTACGCCGAAAGCCCCCACAATTAAGTCTGAAAAAGAAGGTGGAAAAACGTGTTAACACATTTTATGTACCTAAAGAGATTTAAACACATTTTCAAAAGTAAAAGGCCGTAGGATAACCTGAGGCTAAATTTTTCAAATATGTAAATAACTTTCTTCAGTGCAAATGTCTGCCACAAACTGCGTTTTCTTCCACACAGACAAGAATGATTTTAGTGGGTCCCTAGGAAAAAAAGCAGCCACAAAGGAGTGTAAGTCCCTCACCAAACCAGCTTTGCAGATGCCTGTGGACTCTGTAATTCCATTGTAAGATTTCTTCCTTTCCCTCATTTCTCGTTACAAAAACAAAACCAAATCAAAAAGCTTACACAAGTACGCTGCCTATGATAACAGAAGGCATTCAAATCAGGAAGAACCAAATGCATTCACTTTCATGTGTCATTGGGACAGATAATCTGAGATTTGGAAAAAAAAATAAAACAAAACATGTGTGAAGACACAGCCATATAAACTCCAGGAAGGCTTTTCAGAGCAGAAGAGCGTATCGTAAGCACACAGACGGGTACACAGAAATAAATTAAAACTTCTAAACTTCCTTTTGCTTAAAATACAGTGTGACAAACTGGAAAATATACACATAAAATAGAGTTAAAACATTTAAAGCAAACTTAAAAAAAAAGGATGAGTAAAAGAAAAGAAAATTACATTACAGTAGAAAAGAAAAAACAAAGATATAAAAATGAACAAAAATGCCCACCTACATTAAAAATGTTAATTAAATTAATATTATCTGCCTATTATAATCACAATTATTTTTTAAAAGGTACTTCTTCCTTATTTTTTCATAATGAATGCTTTAAAGGCAGACAAAAAGAATTCTGTGGAAAGAATGGGATTGTAATTTGACAATGTGTACCGACAGCTTCTAAAAAAGCAGTGCACAATTTAACACAGCAATTTTAGAATTTTTTCCTAAGGAGCTGGGTACGGTGGTACATTTCTGGAACCCCAGTTCTTAGAGGCTGAGGCAGGAGGACTGCTACAAGTTGCAGGCCAACTTGGGCTACACAGTCCAAGGTCAGCTTGAACTACAATAGCCAGACCCTATTCCCAAACTCTTCCCACATAAAAAAATTTAGCCAGACCCTATTCTCAAACTCTTCCCACATAAAAAAAATTTCTTAAGGTAATATTAAACAAAGATATAAATGCCAAACATAAGGCGAAAATAAGAAACAGCTGTTTGTTAGAATGGGATATTTAAAATTCACGTCTTTAAAAAAGTAATGAGATACTTTAAGTGAATAAAATATATAATAAGCAGCACATAAACACTGTTTTATTTAAAAAAATATGAATACGTGTTATAGTTGAATATGGAAAAAGTTTAGAAAGATATGCTTTGCTATATTTTCTTGAAGTTTAGCTATAAGTACGTTGCTATCATATCAGAAAAACTCTGAAACACAGCCAATCTATAAGAATACAGTGTATGCATTGTTTTGAGAAGCACTCCAGCAGCTTGTACCCTGAGCTCCCACTACTGTGACCACAAAGATCACCTGAGTTTTCTAAATCGAATTTTACGTCTAGCAAAGACTCACCCGGAGGCTCGATCCACTGAGAACACCCCCAGTGTGTAAGAGGCTCGCAGAGGCTGGGCTTGCCCAGTACATTAATTCAGCAGCCAACCTCAGGGCAGCGTCCTCTGAGTCTCTTTCCACATTTGGCCTAACAGTGAGCTAACCTGGTTTTATCCCTATTCTTCCTAGGAGAATTAAATAATGGATTTTTTAAAAATCAGAGGAATTAATCTAATCCAGTGATGGGGAACATTTTAGAGACCGAGTGCCTGAACTGCAAAACCAAAGCCCACTTATTTACATGAACATCTTTTTGTCTTAGAAGAAAAACTGAGTCTGATGGCATGGGCTGCTATTGTAAAGGTAACAAGACACATTATGGCAGCCATTCTGGACTTACTATGATCTTGTTTTAAAATCTTATTTATTGCATTGTTTTGTTTTTACCAGCTTTATTCTGTTGTTCTGTTTGACACCATGTCTGATGGTACGGGCAGCTATTCTGAAGACTACAAGAGGCACTGTGGGAGCCATTGTTGATTTCCCATCATCTTGTTTTGAAATTCTGTATCATAAGCTTACACTGCTTTACTTTGATTGACTGTATTCTGTTTTATTTTGGTTGGTTTTATTCTTTTTAAAATAAAAATTTATAAAATAAAATAAAACCTAGTAACATGCACGTCCTAGCTTCCCACCACTGGTTGATTCTATAAAGATGTGGGATGGGTATATAGTTTTTGTCTACAACTCCTGCAACACTTTCCTGAAGCTGTCTCTTCTTCACATGCCTGCCAGGGACGAGAACAATGACCTGAAAGTGAGAGGGCGCCTGGGACGGCTCATGGAAACCATGCAGGCTATCGCCCAAGGACACAGGAGCCCGCGCGGCAGGCGGGCCGGGCGGCCGAGGGCTGCACCTGGGTACCCGTTGCGGTCGATGTCCGTGGCGCCCTTGAGTGCGTAGCCGAAGCTGGGTGGCATGCTCTGTGCCGCCCACTGCCCTGCCAGGGTCTGCGAGGGGGCCGGGTTCAGGCCCGAGGCTCTGCCGTTGAAGATGTACACCAGGCCCTTCATGCCCTCACCCCCGTAGGGGGCCGCGATGGCAATATCTGCAGAGAGAGGGAGATGGGAAGGGGCATTAGGAATAGAGAGGGGGAGCAGCCTCTGCTGTCCTGCACCTGCCTCAAGGCAGCCCCTGGCCCCCAGCCTTCCTTCTGCCTGTCTGAGCCTCCTCTTGCCTGCTGTGTGAGGGCTTCGCTCACCTGCCACACTCTCTCCAGGGCGCTCTCGAATACCCTGCCTGCCTTTGCTTTTGTGACACAGGGCCTCATTGTAGTGCAGGGTGGCCTTGAACTCACTATGTAGCCCAGGAAGGCCTTGAGTTGTAGTGATCCTCCTGTCTCAGCCTGTGTGCTACAATTACAGGGGTGCACCACCATGCCAGCGGTGGGTACCAACCGTTTTCTACACCTAGCCGAGTGTTCGCACTCCACGGGCAGCAGCTAAGCATGTGTTACCTTTCCAACATAACACCCAAGAGCCCTTCTTTATTCCTGTTTAAAGCTGGGAAAGATGAACACAATGGCGAAATGGATTTATGCACTAAGAAATTATTTATTGAAATATAATTTCCCCAAAAAAGATGGCTTGGATGTTGAATGGGTACAATACAATTTCGTAAGATTTCTAAACCCTGCGAAATTCACTAATTCTCCTCTCTGGGCTATCGTGTGTGAAAAGCCCTCATCCTCATGATTCACTTCTTCCTGTGATTATTTTAGCTGCTCTTTTCTATTTTTTTTTTTCCCTCTGCTTTTCTAGAGAGATATAGACAAAAGCTGCCCAATGTTAACCTGCGGTTTTATAAAGCTGCAGAGCGGCCACCCCGGCCTCCCTCAGGCTTGCTGTGGTTACACAGGGAACCTCACTGACCTGTGTCTCATGCTCCTAACACCTTGTTTCTGCCACTAAGAGCTCTCCTGCTGGGGGAGGGAAGAGGAATATATGAAGACAGGGTGAAGCCACATAAGGACACACACGCACACACATGCACACTCGCAGTCCTCCAGTTACCTCCCACTAAAGACACTCTCATCCACAACCTCCTGTCTGTGACACTAAGACCAAAGGAGAACCCCTGCGAAAACATCCACACCCTCTCTGGAAAACGTCAGCTGTGGGGCTGTCCTTCTGTGTATTTGCTGAGCTGACAGATAATACATCACAACTAAAATGTAAGAAGTAGGATGAGGTCACTGGACAGCATCAAGGGCACTCTGAAAGTGGCCGCACTGCGCTCGTGTCACAGAGACACCAGATGTGTCCAGGCTTTCCCAGAAATGCCAGGACCGGGGCTCGACAACCTACCAGGAAGGCCTGCAATGCTGTACTACTCGACGCAGAATCCCAAATGGGCCCCATATTCTGGGCGCGCCCGTATGTAGTGGATTTTCCATCTGATGTATGTTACCGTCTCCTGCTTCCTTTGGAAGCCAGATGAACCATACTGGTTCATGAAACACTGAAAACTCAGAGTTAATAGAAGTGACCCTTCCAGTATCTAACCTACAGGTATCCATGAGGCAGGGCAGGACTATCATCAAGAGGCCAATCAACAGCTCCCTGGACCACGAGTCATCTGCATTTTCAAAGATTTCTTTTTGGGCTGGGGATGTAGCTCAGGACACAGCGCCTGCCTGACAAGCACAAAGCCCTGAGTGTGACCACTGGTACTGGAAAAAAAAATCCTGAAGTTTTCTTTTTAATAACTTCCCTGTGCACTTTACACATTTCCCTATGTCCGTATACACTATTGATTGCACACACATAACAACAATTTATTTCTCCACTCTGTATTCTGTATAAAAGTTCTTAATAGTATTCTTTTAAAAAAAGTGTTGATAATCTATGTTTCCTATTTCTAAAAACAGTCACAGAGCGAAAGATATCTATGACTACGAAAATGGGACTACAACAGTAGGTTCACAGTACTCCCAGGATCCTACAGAGGCAGAGAACTGTGCTTGGAACTCCTTACATAGCTACAGTAAGCTATGGCTTTGTGGACAGCAATGGTGCATACCTATACTTGCACTACTCAGGAAGTTGAGGCAGGAGGATCTCCTTTAAGGCTATCCTGAGCAATTCTGCAAGACCTTGTCTCAAAATAAAAAATAGAAAGATCCAGGCATATGGCTCTGTTGTAGAGTGCTTGCTTAGCTAAGTAGGTTTGCATTCCTTTCCAGGAATGAAATGAACAAACAAAATCGCCTGACCGGACTGAGCAATGCCTTCCTAACCGGTCTGTGAGCATTTTTGGAGCCTGTGACCACGCAGACAGCAGAGGGCGCTGTCGCTCAGCGGGAGGCCAGGACGCAGGTCTTCTGGCCAGCAGGGCTCCAGGGATAGAGTGCCTTTCAGAAATCACCACGCCCACTCCTCCCTGAGCTACTCGATTAACTCCTGGGCACCAGCTTTTCTGAAAATTGGCTCTGAGTTTCAAGGATAAACAAAAGGCAATCTTTGAACTCTGGTGTTTAAATTTGGTGTCACTTGGGTGAGACTACATCTTCCGAGGAAACAGGTTTTGCCCATGTAAATTTTTTTTTCCTTCTCATTTCGGGGACTGAACACAGAACCTTCACACTGAGCTACATCCCCGGCCCTTTATTTTATTTTAATTTGTGTTTAGATTTGTCTCAGCCCTCTTTTATTTCAAGACAGGAGTCTCACTTAAGTCCCTAAGTTGCCCAGGCTGGGTTAGCATTTGTGACAAGCCTTCCCTTGCGTGCTTCTGCTGGGCAGACTCAGGCTGCGTGTGGGCCTCACCGTTGAAGCCGTCCTGGTCCAGGTCTCCCAAGGGGGCGATGGCACTGCCGAAGCGCGCGAAGACCTCGAAGCCAGTGAGCTTGCTGGTCTGGAAGCCCCCGGATGCTGCCTGGAGCGACAGGGAGACCTGCCCCACCTCCTGCAGTTTCCCGTCCGAGCCACGGTCCATGAAGAGCGGGGCTCCGATGAACACATCTGCCAGACTGAGGAGCAGGAGCCTGGGTGAGACTCCGTCTACGCCGAGCACAGATCCTTACCAAGACTCAGTTTCCCTCTCTGTGATTGCTCCCGGTGGGCGGAAGCCCTGAATGATGACCAGGGCACGCATTTCGAAGCCAAGCCTCCCTTCAATTCTTCTGAAAGACTACAGGTAACATATCACACTGAATTTTTCCTCCTTATGTTACAAAGGCTATTTTTAAAAACCACAGAGATTTACTAGTGCCATTCCCAATGAAGGCTGCTTGGAATGGCAGCCTGAGGTAGATGGGAGGTCAGCAAAGGGGACAGAAGACACAGAAGGAAAAACGTTCAGTTCAGCAAAGCGTTTATAAACCCGAGAGGGAAGCGGTTTCTGGAAACATTTTTAAAAACTTACTCATCTCCATTAATGTCCGTGGCAGCCACAGAAAATCCAAAATACGCAGCCATCTGAGTAAGAAAATGAAACAGGAATGTTTCACCCAGCGGGCTCAGACAGCTCGCGTGTGCTGCAGGGAAGTGCTGCATGGGAAGTGTGGGTGGCCCTCAGCTGCATAACGGGGTTCGCTGAGCATCCTTTCTTCATTCTACTAGCCCAGTGGTGACCTGGGAACCAGCCTCTCACTTCCTAAATTCCTCGTCTGTAGGGGAAATGCACACCGCCTGCATCCCTGTGAAATCCTCTGCACATACTGTGAGGCTAAGCGGAGACGACTCCCCTTGCCGGGCCAGACCCAATCACCTCCCCTCCTCGATGCTCCCCCAAACGCACCAGATGAATGGCAAGCTTTTCCACTGCACCCCAGAAGTGTCCAGGTTGCCTGTGTGGAGGGGTAGTGGCGCGTGGCTCTTAAGAGAAAAGAACTGCTGTCTTGAGGGTGACCTCTGTTACTCTAAAGAAGTTATTGTTTGCAGCTCCTCTTGTCTCTCACTTCAATGGCTTACTTGCTGGCTGGTTTGGCTTTTACGTTACATACAGTATAAATGTGTGTGTCTGCTATGGGCTTGTTCCCCACAGGAAGACAGAATGTCCCCTCCTCTGCCACTGGGCACCCCTGGCCAGCACAGCCCAGCTGGAGATGAAGTTGGAAAGGAAAAATCCACAGAAAGCCCCCGGTGTGCCGATCAAAGTGAGGAGAGAGACACATTTACAGCGACCAAGACAAAGCTGAGACAGGGCAGCAGATAGCACGCCATGCAGCAAACTGCGAGCAGCTGCAGTCAGGATGCAATAAGATCTGTATATCACCAATGACTGTGGGTGACACTGTGCGCGGGAGAGTGGGTGGCTGTGCTGAATTTGGGGGGCAGAGCTAAGTGGGGAGCACAGTGGCTCTGCAGAGTGCCCTGCTGTGCAGACAGGAAGAGGCGACAGCACACCTGGTCCCCAGGCGACGGCTGCCTGGCCCGAAGGAGTGAGAAAGGGTGCACCTGCCGGGGAGAGGGGTTTGTCCTGGGCCCTGGGAAAATTCCTCACTGGGGTCTCAGGACAGCAACAGCACCGTGAGGAGATGAGCTGTGTCCTCCTCCCTCATATGCACAAGCCAGGACAACTCTGTGTCCAGTACTGTGACAGCAGATGAGGCACAGGGAGTCCAGCTCTGTCCTCACCCTCAGCTGCCCCACTGCCCAGACAGCCATGCGGGACAAGGCCAGCAGCATCCTGAAGGCAAAAGTCCAGAGGCACGGGGGACCTGTTGCCGGAGCTGCAGGGGTCACACGGCAGAAAGGTTCACTCCGCAGCACCCTGACTGCTGGTCAGCTGTGGCCTCTTGACCCCCTGGCCACCAGGCCGGCTGCTACCCTCCTGCCCATCCTCAACCAAGCTTCAAGACCTCCACGGCACAGAAGGCTGGAGCCAACCAAGAGCTGCAAAATAGCATGACTCCGTTTTCTCTGCTTACTGCTTGGTTCTTTATCATTACTAATGTATCTAACCTTCTCTAAGGGACAGCCTAGACTATTATAAAATGCTTACACTTACAGAGACTGTCTAGCACTTAAAAAAACTATGTTTAACCAGAATATTTTATCTCATGTCGTGCAAGGAAAGTTTACATGCAACACTTATCACACACAAGTCTGTGCTCTGCTCCCTTTCATTTCTAGTAAATTAAAACACTCAGATCACCTCCTGAAGAGGATTTAGTATCATCAGGGAAAAGTGGGAAATTTTTGTCATCTTTTGTGTGCAAGACTTTTTTTTCCCCTAGAAAAAGGAAAACAAAAACAAGCCATGGTATGAAATGATCCAGTTAAAAACAAAAGTGAAATACATATAATCTCTATTTGTAACACTGAACACTGTGGATTCACTGAACCATTTCAACACCCCCGAGAAAACAGAGATAATACAATGCTGATCCAAAAGAGCAAACAGAAAAATTAAAAGTAAACCAGTTTTTGTTTAACTATACACTTCCCACAGACACAAAGGTAATACAGACCACACTGAGTCTCTGATGGATGAGCTGTGGGGACAGACCATAGCTGGCTCTGACACTTCTATTTTCCAAAGCCTTCCTAGTGAACAGACACTGTTTTTATAAAGGAAGAGAGGCGACACCTTCAGGCATACCTGCTCACCAGTGAAGTTGTACAGGGAGGACATGTTTTTCCCATCATAAATATAAACCTGCACAAGCAAAACAAAGTATGTGAAACATCACATTCTACACAGGTAGCACAGGTTTTCTGAAACACTTCTGAGTCTTTCCTACCATTCCCAAAGTCCTTGCTGCTCTCGGAACTCCGGAAACAAAGTCTAGAAAGAAAGAAAGAAAAAGAAACTACTCAATTGCACATTTTTAGGACCAACATCGGACACAGCAGCGGAAATGGCTATGGCAGAGCTTTACTTTCATGACTTCAGTACAAAATGAGAAATTTTATAAACCTGAGACTGTAATAAATAACCCTAGCATTTTAAGCTATGAAAACAAGATTTACAAAACAGTGTTTTTCATCTTAAGGATGAAATATACACAAATAGCTCCTCAAATCACCTGTACTCTTGTTAGCGGAGACAGGTTAGCTGAGAAGTGGGAAAAACTATTTACAGTAATGCTGTAGGATTGCTGTGGCCCAGAGACAATCACAACCAGGGCGGGTCAAGGGTGCCCCTGGAGCTCTGGGGGCTGTGAGGAAGGATGAACCCCAGGCTCTGCGAGGCCAGTGCATGCATCTCCAGACATAATGTTACGTGAGATACACCAAGATACTGCACGGTGAAGAAAATACACCGCAGCATGGGAGATGGAGCTTGTGCAGCTGCAGAGCGGACCTGACATGCAGGGAGGTGGGGAGAGGGGAAGGGAGAGGGGGAAGCTCTCCGGGAGGGCAAGTCACCGTGGAGCCACAGCACTGGGCCAGCAGGCGACCATCAGGAGTGAGGACCTGTCCGGAGCCGCTGGGGGGCGCTGTCCCCGCAGTCGGTCCTCCATGAACACGGTATCCACGTGCTAGAGAAACACTAGGGTCCCGGATTACAAAGGCTCAACGACTACAAGCGACTCAAAGGCTGCCTACCGTCAACACCGTCACCGTTGAAATCTCCCACGGCCACCGAGTAACCTGCAAGGGAGCCAGAGGGAGCGGGGTGAGAAGGGAGATTTCAGCAAGCTGAGTTCCTCCCCTGGGGGTGATGTCTTGTACCCTCAGCATAAGCCATGCTGGGTCTGAGGATAACCGAGTTTGCTGAGAACAGGGTCTCGCTATGTAGTTCCCCACATAGCCAGGATGGCCTTGAACTCCTGGTGATCCTCCTGCCTTAGCTTCCCCTAAGTGCAGGGATTACAAAAGCAAGCCAGTACACCTGGCTATGATAAATGCGTTTTAAACGGGATAACCTGTGGTCTGGTGATACAGCTCAGCAGCACAGTGCCTGCCTGGCAAGCAAGAAGTCATGAGTTTGATTCCCAATATAAAAAAAATTAATTAATTAAAGGAAAATAAAAGAAATCACTTGATACTCATATAGGGTGTCTATATTAGAAAAATAGGATTGTTTACTTTACAAAGCAGTCTGTTATAAACTGGGTGAATCTGCAATTTGCTGTAAGGGGCAACAGATAAAAAGATCCTCTCCATCAGCAAGCTCTGAACTATTTCTCTTGTGTGCATCCTGTCTTCATAAATCAGAAGGAAATGTGAACACAGAGCACAAGCTCTGATGAACACTCGGAAGCCAGCTGAGATTTCACACTGTCTACCGCCCCAGGTCAGACAGCCTGAGCTCCAGCCTGAGGAAAGCCAGGAAGGAGGCAGGGGCTGGAGCAGGTGGGCCTTTCACAGCCCTGGGAGGGCTCAGTGAGAGCACACAGACAAAGCCGCAAAGCCCTCAAGCAAAGCAAGCATGTCTTTTTTTTTTTCAAATGAGATATGGGTGCAAAACACTTGGCACGGCATTTATTCATTCAACAAACATGCATGCCCACACCCTGCTGAGGAACAAAGAGAAGACGTGAGACAGGAAGCCCCTGCTTCTGGTTGCCATGGCAACCCAAAAGCCTCACCCAAGTCAGCTTCCTATGCTTCCTTCTTGAGGCCCCCAAATCCACAGCCACCCCCACCAGCTCCGCCACCAGGGGCTGAAAGCAAGCATGTCTTAAAGGTCATCACTGAATGAATTCTCTCTCTTCAATTACTGGTCAGGCGTGGTGGTGCTCACCTGAAATCCCAGCACCAGGGAGGCTGAGGCAGGACGACTGCCCACGAGTTCATTGCCAGCCTGGACTACACAGTGAGGCCCTGTCTACAAAACCAACTTCCTGCTGCAAAATAAACCAATTACTGAAATATAACACAATCTTAGTATTCAACAGAATTTTGAAACTGTGTCCTTCGTATTTTAAAAAAACTTACTCTACGTCACATAACAATTTTTTTTCTACTTAAAATTCTATATGCGAATTATAAGACAACTATACCCCAACACCATCAAATGAGTTTTACCTACCCAAATAGCTGTCATCAAAAACTGCTTGTGCGGTCCGAGTGGCCAGCTGGTTACTGTATTTGATGCTGTAGACAGTGGGGTCATATTTAGAGATGATTTCTGCCACTTGATCCGAAATGAGCTGACCTAAAGGACAAAAAAATGAAACAAATATAGTTGTTCCTTTCCTTTGGATCGGTAATTACAATCAGCCTATACCAATAAAAATTTTAAAATGAGATTTGTTTTAATTTTGGAAGTCAGTGCCATACAAATGGAATAATTAAATCATGAGCTATTTCCCAGTGGTACCCTTAAAACTTGAAAAAACTTTAACTGAAATAAGTAAATATTGCGACCTTTTATCCTCAGAGGTTAGTGGGTCTTAGCTGGTTGCTGGAACAGCTTTATGAAGCAACCTGAATGAGTGAGTTCATTTTTGCTCACAAACTGAAATTACCGAGCAGCCAAGAAATGGAGATGATCGCACAAAAATCCGTGTGCAGGCGTGACCTCAGCGTGCTGGGAGGCTGAGGCAGGAGGGCTGAAAGTTTGAGCCGAGCCTGGGCAACAAAGTGATTTAGGGAGACCCTGTTTCATAATAAACACTTGCCCCCATGCTGTTACCCTGAGAAGTTTATCCAGTGCCATCATGCATCTCCCTAACGTGGGGAAAACAATTCTTCATTTCTGCTGCCTTAGAAAGAAATTCACGAGCTGAAATGTGGATCGAATTTGTCAAATTACACAGCTAGAAATACTTTCTGTCCAGCCGAGTTTACTACCTGTGCTTAAAATGTTCTGCAAACACTTGAGGAATTCAGTAAATCCTGCTTAGATCAGAGGACCCGGCAAAATGGATCATCTGTTAGGAATAAAATGCTGCCTTTTTTTTCTATTCTTACAAAACAGATCTGTGAAGAAAAAATTCATTCCAATGTACTTGTTTATCGAGGGTGAAAGCTGCTGAATAAGTTTGGGGTGTGTGTGTGTATTTGTGTGGTATCAGAGGTTGAACCCTGGGCCTCCTGCATGTTAGGTAACCACCCTGATGCTAAGCTACATACTCAGGTCTTCAAGAAAAATTACATTTCGAGACGAGACCGCACTAAATTGCCAACACTGGCCTCCAACTTGTCAGCCTCCTGCCTCAGCCTTTCCAGTATCTGGGATTACAGTCATGCACCACTCACGTCCAGCTGATTTTAATCTTGCTAGAATATTATTGCCCAATTCCCTCAGTCTTTCAGTTATATGTGACAGAGCACTTATAAAAGGATTCCAGTGGACAGTACTGACAGTATCCATTTGGCTTAATTTAGAATAAATAGGAATACATGAAGATCTCATGTCACACCCAAGGTACTAGGAGAACAAGGCATTTAAACACATCCAGAGCCGCATCTCTTAAAGACAGTTCAGAGGTGGGTATGCTGGGGCCATCTGTAAACCCTGACGTGGTAAAGCTGAAGGCTGGAGCCCAGCCTGGGCCACTTACAAATTCCTTTTTCGTTTTTCTTTCCAGAAAGCAAATGCAAGTGTGGGCTCCCTACAAGGAACCAGGTAGTGGAAGCACAGTGGAGACCATAAAAGTAAAATTCAAAACTGAGAAGTGCTTTCAAATCGATACAGTTTTCTAGTTATTTCAGATACCTACAATGTCTGAGTCCTGAATGCTCCTACGATAAGGGTAAGTTATAACCGTGTAAGCAGTGGTCTTTAGCAAAAATTAATCATTTTAGTGTTAACCAGCTAAACAACTGTGTGTCCCCAGTGATAAATTAAGGAAAGCAAATAGCAAATAACCAGGTGTGGTGGTACACATCTATAATCCCAGCACTCTACAAGGCTGAGGCAGGAGGATCCCAAATTCAAGCCCCTTTTGGACAACTTAGCAACTTACTGAGACCTTGCCTAAGATAAAAAAAAAATTTTAAAAACGGGATGAAGATGTAGCTCAGTGCAAAGGCCCTGGGTTCAATCCCCAGCATTGGGAAAAAAATTAAAATAAAACAATAACTTGAAAAGTTTCACAGGTGCATAACAAGCCAGGTGAACCAGAAACAAATGCACGATGGGTGATGTAATATGGGTTGGCTTACCTTGCCAGTAAAAGCTACCAGGACCACCGAGAAGAACTCTGTCAGCCTAGATTGAACCACACAACAGAAGAGTGGGTGCTTAAAAGCAAGTCACTTTCAAAGCAGAAATCAATACAATGACCATGAAAGAAAGACATTTATGCCATTTATATCATACATGTTACAGCAAATAAAATCATAAACCGCAATCTTAACTAACTCAGTGGTTTTCACTGTGCCTTTTCTAAAATAAAACTGAAAAGAAAAATTATAATTTGCTCATTTAATATATACGAGAACTTTTTTCTCTAGGGTTTAGCCATTTTTCATTTTTTTGCATGAAATACTGGTATAGAGTACTACCAGGCTCCAGTAGGGAACAAAAGTCACTTACTCCTTTCCTGTGTTAGATGTGTGACTACACAGGCACACTGTCTTTCCAGTAACCATTCTGGAATGTTCTGCTAAAGGAAAACTAGTTAGTGTCTGATGGAGCTAGATGGGCATGGAGTGAGGGCGTAGATTTCTACCAATTACACCTGATGGCCTTTCTCACACCTGTGTCAAGACCTAAGCGTCTAAGGCAGAGAACTGCGCATTTGAACACCATGCTTTGGCACGTTCTTCTTGTGGAGTCAAGGGAACGTTTCCCCTTTCCAAAGAGTGTAGCACTTCCCTGCCCTGCCATGGGAAAGACTCTTGCAAGTCGCCTCCTCTTAAAATGACATCATTTTTTCAGAAAGGGGTCTAAGAAAGTAAAAGTTAATTTATCGATAATTGCACATTATGAGATATTTCTGGGAAAATGGTTGCATAGGTACAGAGAGCAGGGATGCTTTTATTCTGAAATAACGTCTATTTGAAAATATATCCTGTGAGTTGAAGCCTAATATTTATGCAGATACTTTATCACCCTTTATTTGGCTTCCTTAAAGTTCAAGTAACATAATACAAAACTGAGTCACTCCAAAGTCAATTACCTAGTAAGGAAAGTTCGTGCTATCAGTACCTAGTGCAGAAAAATATTTAACTGAACAAAAATAAAATACATTTTAAAAAATAAAGAAATGTAGGGGCTGGGGATTTAGCTCAGCAGCATAAGCGCCTGCCTTGCAAGCAGGCAGTCGGGAGTTTGATCCCTGGTACTGATAAAAATAAATAAATAAAAAATAAAGAAATGCTTAACTCCTTCTCCAGCATCACATGACTTGGGTTTCTGCTGTTTTCATAAATGGATGGCATTTCTCACTCACATTTTCCAAGAAAGCCATGCCAAGCTTTCTAAGGGAGCTCGCCTTTAAACAATCCATATGTTTTTGCAATTTCTTTAGGAGGGATGAATATTCTCAATTTGATGTTTAAAATATGCCACAAAATATAAAGTAAAAACTTTTACTTAATAAAATTTAATACAAATACAGTTTTAGAAAAAAAGATTTAAAAACATCTCTAGACTTCTTCAGGCATGATGGGGCACATCTATGTTTCCAGCTACTTGTGAGACCGAGGCAGGAGCTTAGCGCCAACCTAGTCAACCTGTCAAGACCTTGATTCAAAATAAAATTTAAAAAGACTGGGATCCACACTATCCCTTCAGTGCTTGCCCAGCATTTGCAAAGTCCTGGGTTTAATCCCCAGTAGTGCAAAATAAAAAAATAAAAAAAAAAAAAACACAAAGAAACAAAAACAAAAACCTATCAATTCTGAAGAGTATATTAGGGCCAGTGATGGAGTTTAGGGGCACAGTTCCTGGCTGGCAAGCACAAGATACTAAGTTCAATTCCCAGTACCAAGAAAAAAGAATGTATTAGTTTAGTTTAAAAAATATGAAGAGTTCTGCATATGTGATTCTCTTCAATTTGTTTGGGTCTCATACAGTTCAGGCTGGTCTCAAACATGTGGTCCTCCTGCCTCGGCCTTCTGCACCTGCTCACTCCTGAGATTTTTCTCTCATCATTAAACTGCCTCAGCCACACCGTGTACCTGTCACAGGCCACTAACATGCATGTTTGCAGAAACGAAACTCTAGAATAAAGCTCCCGTTGGTGGCCTTTGGGAAGAACCATTGCAGCTGAAAATGGAAAACTTTCCTATCCTATAAATTCCCATGCATGGCAATGTAATATGAAGTCATAAGGGTGGCCTGGCATTTCTGGAGGAGCATCTCTGCTCTCCTCCGTGTCCCTGAGGCCATCTCCCTAGGGCAGATAAGCAGGGCACCCTGCATGGGGATAATGTAAGGCAAAGAGGGCCGACAGGAAGCGTGTGTCTCATCGGCTCTTTGGTTAAAGGGTAACGGTTAAGAAGAAGCTGCAGTAGTGACCAGTTTATCAGAAGCACAGTTTAGCCAGCGAGGTAGAGCTCAATCTTGTTCAGTCTTAAAATGAGAACTTACTTTAGTAAAATCAATGCTGAATCCTCCTTGACAAAATCCCTGTCCATCAGCATCAATATTTTCTAAAATAAAAAGATTGGAAATATACACAAACCCAAAACAAACAACACAAAACAAAACATGAGAAAAATCCGGCATCACCATCATTGTCACGTAAGGCACTAATTTCCATGAGCAGTCACCCATTCCACACTTGGTTAATGCCACACTCTGACCAGGTTAGTATTCGAATTTACCTGCACCATCTCCGAGTAGAAGGAAACGGAAACCAGTCCCGGGAAACAGAAAACCACCCACACATCAGATTTAGTGTTTTTTTTTAACAAATCATAGCAAGATTACAGTTTATAGCACAACCCAAAACACATACTATGTGTGCAAAATAAATATAGAACTGAAACAAAATTTCCCACAAAATATCACTATTACCATATATAATAGGCTCTGGCATTTTCTACATTATATCTCATTTTATTTTCAAACAAATTACCAATGTAACCCTATACATAAAACAGTAATGAGGGGCTGGGGATTTAGCTCAGTGGCATAAGTGCCTGCCTTGCAAGCAGGCAGTCGTGAGTTTGATCCCTGGTACCGGTAAAAATGAAAAAGACCAAAAAAACAAACAAAAAAAAACACTAATGAGTTTTGGTTTTGGGTATTGTGGTGTTTTTTTGGTACCAGGGATCAAACTCCCAGCCTCTCATTTGCCAGGCAGGAGCTTACACCACCAAGCTAAATCCCCGGCCCCATAATCAGTTTTGATTTACTAGCTACAAATTCCCACCTGATGTGACCTTTTCCTCCTACTGCCCTTTGCATGCTAGGTTTTTGCTAAGTTGTTATAAATAATAACAAAGATAGCTGTACATTCCTAATATTATACATATCTTTACATACATTTTATAGCCAGCAACACAAATAAAAATCTATGAATAACACAGCTTGGAATTTCAGAAAATGGCAGGCCCCAAACTTAATGCTCCTTGAAGGCAAAATATGGAACGATCCTCACAGTAAATTCAGTGCTGTGGTCTAGTTAAACATCTCTAAACATGATACATTCAAAAATACTCTCCACCATAGATGAATTGATGATTTTTATCTTCTGTAATCACTGCTCTCCTTTCTTGTAGTTCTCAGAAAAGGAAACTAATTCTGAGTTAAAGTAATAAACCAACTACTTTAAATTAGTTAGGAGTAATAAAGTACCGAGAAAGGCAGGTAAGCTCTGAAGTCTCTTACTTTGTCTTGCTTTGTTTCTTTAGGAAAGTGAGGAAGATGGAAAACACCACCCTTCAGTTAGCAAAGAATTCTTGTAGCCAGTGTTACCAATATAGAAAAAGATACGGAATTGTTCATCCAAATATAGGAACCAAAGAGACCTATTTTCTGTCATAAGGAAAATTGCCAAGAATTTTTCAGCCAAATAATCCCATCAAAAATTTTGAGCCCATTTTCAAAACCTGGGAAGTGCCCCAAGATTACACACTATCCAAATTTAAAATACTTAAAAAAAAATTTTTTTTTTAAGAAAATGGCCTCAGGAGTGTAATTCTACCCCTGTGTAAATTTTTCTACCGAAGGGGGAATGGGAAAATGTGCAGCTGGGGTTTCCAGCGTCAAGTGAATCATACCAAGGAATTAACCCCAGGTCAGCCCTTGATTTCCTTTACTGAAGTTGCATCTGGGGAACTATTCCAGGCTATTTATAAAGACATCCTATTTTGATTATCTTACTGTACAACTATTTTATTTGGTTTCCTAGAATATCCACCCTAAAATATGACTATTCCATAAAAATTTGTAATAGGTACATATTACATATTCAGTCATATTCATTTGTGATGAGTCAAAATCTTTCATGTTAATAGAACTTATTACAGTAAAAGCTTTGGTGCTCTTTAATGCGTGCCCCATTTGTAATGTACAGGATTGATATTCTAAGTGAAAATGCTATTGATGAGGATAGATGATCACTTCCCTGTGGGCCAAGTAACTGTGCTAATAAGCATTTTACATGGCATTTCTTTTTTAAAAATTAAAAATCCAAGGAGAGGTATTATTATCCAAAATTCGTACTGATATGGAAAGTAATGTTTAGGGAAATGGAGCATCCTGACCACGATCAAGGGTTAGCAAACGGGAACACAGAGCTGGACCCACAAATGTCTGCCCTACTTAAGCTGCATGACCTCAAATCAACAATGGATTTATGATTCTCTGAGTAATAAAAAAAGTAGAGGGAAATACCTGCCAGAAACCATAACTTACAGAAATTGTGACAGATAACATCATCATCAAAGAAGAGACGGAAGGAATAAAGGGCTCAGGCTGAGTGTGGCACCCAGAGCATTTACACCATGTGATTTATGGCTCAGACCGGCTGACAACAGACAGACATCTGGTTTACTATTTAGTGCCAAGAATGGTCCCAAAGCCAGTTAGGAAAAGCTGGAAGCAGTTATAATCACTAAAAAGGTAAGCTGGAAATAGACAGGGAAGTTCCTCACCCAGGGTGTCCACAAAAGTTGTGTTAAAAACAAAATCAAACAAATATACAAAAATAAAACACCTCCCAAGTAAAATTATCAAGACGTCAGCAATGCAGTCCTACAAAAACTGGCTTACCCTTATAAAATCAATTACTGATTGCATAATTTACTTTAGTATGAAGAACATACAAAATACAAAATTGTGCCTCTGGAGTGCTTTGTTGGAATTAGTGTTTCACCAGTAAAGAATGGACGGGTTGATTATTAGCGAAACTTAAGATTATCACCCAGCCCTTCAAGCTTTTGTTCCTAAGTATTTGCTCTGGAAAGACTTTTTCTCTTGGTAAATTAAATTTGTAGGTAGCTTAATGTTCAAGGGTTGGACCAAACAATATGTATAATAATTAGAAGTTGCTGAAAGCCAGGCCTGTTAGGAAGAAAGGCATTCACTTCACTTTTGTGCTTTATGAAGTTGTTCATTGAGCTTTTCCTAAGATTTGAAGTTTTATTAGATCAGAGCTCAGTAATCTTTTTTCTGCAAAGGTCCAGATAGTACATACTTTAGGGTTAGGAGCCATTCTGTGTGACAACTAAGGAACTACTCAACTTTCCCAGAGGATGCCTACGGAAATGGGTGTGGCTATATTTCAATAAAACTGTATTTACTAAATCAAGGTCCAAAGGCCATAGTTTGCTGATGTGTATTGTTAAATACCTTAGAAAATATGATTTTGAATTACTTTGTCATTTCGACACCTAAACTAAATAGTGAAAGCTTTAGGTGACAGATAAACAAGAAACTGTGGTTAGAAAACACATTTTCAGTTTTTCAGAAACTAGACAAATTAGGAATTAGGAAGGAGGCAGAATGTATTCTTTGTAGAAAATCTGCATTAAAAACAGAAGCAACTGAAATGAAACATCTCCCTCTGTCACGCAGGCAAAGATTCCTGAGGAATGAAGACAGGGTTTAGCATGCTCGAGACTCTGGGTTCAGCTCCAGCATCAGAAACCAAAAGAAATGGACAGGCCTGAGTTCAGCGCCATGAGGAGGAAAGTCACTGCTTCAGGTAAGCACAGAAATGCTATGTTACACCTGGGAGTGTAGGGTTCGCTTTTCTCCAGAGCTCTGATGGGATCTTCTCAGGTGAACATTTTTGTAGTACGGAAATTAGATTTACAGATTTAGTCCTCAGATTTTCTCCACACTACAGAGGTGACAATATGACTCCCAAAATGCTGCCACCACGATGGTGAGGCAAGTGGCCCCCTCCAGCCCTGACCACAGGTTCACTGAGCATAATCCAGGTGTGGGGTGGTGACAGCCCCTCACCACACGCAGGATGGATAGGGTGGGCTGGGAAGTAAGTGCTTAGTGAAATAACCTGCAGCATCCCAGAGGTCCGATGCTTTAGAATGTTCAGACCAAGCAGGATCTTTAATCTCATGTTGTGTGTCACCTACCACGAAAAAAAGGAGTCTCTCAGTAGCTCTTACATGATGTATTTCTGTTACTAATTCTTTTTACTCAACTGTTTGGGGACCAATAAAACACAGCAAGTAATGTCCTAAGACAGGCATGCTGGAGCTGGCCTGTAATCGCTGCCCTCCAGAAGGCTGAGGCAGGAGAATCATAAGTTTGAATCCTGTCTAGGCATCTTAAGAAGACCCTGTATTAAAAAGAGAAAAGAGCTGCAGATATAACCTCAGTGAAAAGGCCTACTGCCCCATGAATAATCACTAAGCAGAAGTTCCTCTTACTCTCCACAATTTCAGTTACTGGCCGTCAACTACAATCTGAGAAAATCGAAAATTTCCAGAAATAAAAGATTCATACATTTTAAATGCAGTATATTTATTACAGTAAGTTGCCATGATTCTGTATGATGGACAGTTGCTGCTGTTGGTCTCTTGAGTGTGCTGAATTTTGTAAAATGAACGTTGGCATAGGTAAACGTGTATGTATGTAAGGGGGGAAATTGTAGCCTTTGGGACCAGCATTCTGGGTTCAGGGACCCCGGGACACTTTGCATGATACCCGCCAGAGACGGGCAGCCCTTCAGGCATCTCTGGGTCTGTTTCTGGCACAGAGAGTTGGAGTAGTGGCCAAAACAACAAAAGGTGGCAGGGAGGAGATCGGAGTCTGAAGGGGAAGGAGATGTGCAGAGTGTGGAACCCCGCGGCACCGCAGGAACGTGTCTGAGATGTTAACTGCTCTGGGTGCAGAGCATGTGACCTGCCCCAGGATCTCCAACACAGAAGTGGGCTTGGCCACAAGCTAACAGAGAAGCTCTGGGGATGGTTGGGAAATTCAGTCTCAGGCCTCCTCAACTCAGCACTCACCCCTCCTACACAAGCTCTGGATAAGTCATTTCTTATTTTCAGCATCACTGTGAACCTAAGGAGTGGTTCTCTAGCTTTGTTATCATCCAGATCGTCCTGGAGACCCTATAAGATGCAAGTACCTGGTCTAATCCAGACCTGCCAGACAGACCCTCTCCTTGTGGGACCAGCATCTGTTAGGGAAGCTCACATTCTAACTGTGATGAAGAATACAGGCTCCCAAAATCAATTACTAATGATCACTAACCAAGCAGTAACAATTCTTAGAGGTAATAAAGGATGTTAAGGATGGATAGGACTGTTTTTGTTAGGCTCTCAGCGACTCACAATCCATACACACACTGGGCCGTGCACACACACACTCATGCTGCTGCACACGTGAACGGGCTGCCCTTCCCGTTCCCTCGCTAAAAGCAGCAGGACCCACAGCACATACTTGACCGGCACGGCGCGTACTCCACGGTCTTGGTCCCGGACTGAAGAAAGCAGGTCCCGACAGGCTCCCGCTCCTGCTTCTGTTCCGTCCGCCAGTGGTACAAGGGGGCACAGGCCTAAGAGCGAAGGTTTAGTGCAGGATATAAAAATTCTCCAAAAAGACCCCCAGCATTTCAGGCTGTCTCTACTGACTTAGAATACATCACTTTCTATACTTCAATAAAAATGAATCCAGCCTCTCCCATCCCTTATCGCACCAGTGGATAAAGGTTTTCAAAGAAGGGCTTTTCTCACATTCTTCTTAAGATCCTATTTTAGTCCATTCGTGTATTTTCAAAATCAGTAGCCAGGGCTGGGGATTTAGCTCAGCGGCACAAGCGCCTGCCTGGCAAGCGCGAGGTCGTGAGTTCAATCCCTGGAACCAAAAAAAGATAGCAAAATGATTATTTCAGGTAACATTTCTTCATGCTAGATGCTAAGCTTCAGGTCACGGATGTCTTATCTAACTAGTAACTAGTAACACTGCAGAGCCTGGAGGGTATAATCCCAAATATACAGCAAATAGTTTTAAAAGATTGTATAGTGCTCATGGTTTTCTTTACTTTCCATAAAAAGCTTTTGGTGCTCAGAGCTCTAGTTTCACGCATTGGACCAAAGTGCAGTGGTTTCTGCAGCCGATTCTGAAATGTAAACAAGAACACTGGCGACGCCGACCCCGGGTGGTTTTATATCCACCCTAGGACACTGAGGGTAGAATTGCTCCTTTCCTACGCTTCCCCAGGCTGAGAGTGGGTGATGTGCTCCTTCTGAATCTGCTACCTTGCACCCTCCAGCCCACCAAGCCCCGTCCTGCCCCTCCTAAAGCTTGGCACGCCATTTTTAATCAGCACACAGTATCTGCACTCCACGCACATCACACACCCTCAGTCCTTCTTCATCCTCCTTCCCTCCCTTCTCTCCGTCTCTCACCCCCTTCCCACTGGAGAAAGATCTATCTCCCCACTCCCCATTATCTGTCTTTCGGTTTGCTCTTCGTTTGTAACTTGAATTTCTCTTATGAGAAACTACATGATATTTCAGCTTGTGTCTGATTTATACCACTTAACATTCTCCAGCTATGTTCATTTTCCTACAAATGACTCAAGTTTATCTTCTTCAACAGCCTTTAAAGTTCTGCTGATATTTCACCTCCTAAACAAACTTTTCCTGAAGGTTCTAAACATCACATTTAAAAAAAAAAAAACCAGGGAATTAAAGTAGGGAAGGCTCTCTAAGACAATGAAATTAAAGTTTCCAGGTGAATGATCAGAGTGAAAATCAGCAACAGGACTACAAGTAGAGGGCAGACCACACCATTTGGCGTGTGGAGGAAATGAATAAAAACACTACTACAACTGAAGCATCAGCCAGGATGGATCTTTTACACTGACTCTGAGCGACAGAAAACCACTCCGCTTTAATCAGAAAGGCGAGCTGCCCTCCTTCCCTTTGGTGCTTCTATGAACCTTAAGTCAGGGCAAGAAGGAAGCAGAGAGACAAGAGGTTCAGTGACGCTGGCGCAGGAGGGTAAGAATGACGGCTCAGAGCCAGGCAGGGACAGAGAAGCTCCTGACAGATGTGGGACAAGTTTTGGAGGCAGGGTGGATAGGCTCACTGCAGATGGGCGGAGGTCCATCTTCTCAACAGTCACTTTTTGTTGTTTGTAGTCTTTGATAGAAGGAACAAAAGTCCTGTTTTAGCCACGCTCCTTTTGAGTCACCTATCAGACTTCCAAGTGGAAATGCCACTGAGCAAGTTTGGAAATCCGCCTTAGCAATCTAGGGAGAACTAAGAGCTCAAAATACACACTTGGGCATGATGACTTACCGTTTTCTTTAAGATACGGAACAGAATGGGCACCCCTTGGTGAGAGGCACAGGCATAAGAAACAGAGGGACCCAAATGGAGCTCCAGGACACCCCAGCACTTAAGGGCTGAGTAGAAGGAGAATGGAAAGAGTAGCCAGTGACGGGAGCAAAAGCAAGGAGACACAGTGTCGCAGAACAAAAGCCAAGTGGTTTTTAAAAGATGGGAAGGAGGAGGTTCCTGCCCTTGGGAAAAGTCTCTGATGTGCAATAAAGTTAGGAATAAACCCCGGGGGAGAATATAAAACATTGTGGACACACATATTCTCAAAAGCTGCTGCAGTGATTGCAGTGATCTGGAAATCAGTGGTGACCCTGGCTTCCCTGACCCACCAGGAGCAGGAGAGAAAGTGACAGGTGGAAGTGACAGCTCCCAGCACACTTCTAACAAGAGACCCAGCGGTGACAGAGGGGAAGACGGGGCAGGAAGGCCGTGTGCTGCCTGAGAGCATCTGTTAATCACCGTGCACCATCCCAGATAGGAATAGACTGATGGGAACCATCAGGCATGGCAGGGAAAAGGAGTAGAAAAGCCTGGTCCCAGAAGGGCCGAGACAGCACCCTCACGCAGGGCGGAGCTGGCCATCTCCTTATGCCCCAGCCTGAGCACACAGAATTTTGCCCTTAGCCTGAAAACAAATCTGCTTGTGCCTGCACTTAAACTGCCCAGACTCACCGTGAGGCAACATTTGAACAACTTACCAAAATTTTGTCCTGTTTCGATCTCACGGAGGCTCCAAACCACTGGTGGGACTTGAACTCCAGGGGATCATCCTTGGCATAGTCTCTATTGCCTAAGAAAGAATATCACAGGAGGTGAGAACACAATGCGTTCTCAGTGTAGAAGAGTTCATTTCTAAGCTGAAGAAAAGCATCTTTGAGTCATCAAATGCTACATGCTTCATTTATCTCTTCATATACGTTATATGCATACATATATGATGTACACAGATCTATTGAACTTACAACTAATCAGAAATATAACCCACGTGATAATTTGTAAATATCTCAAGGTTGCTATTAACCTCATTGATTAGGTTAAAGCATATGCAACAAGTCACTGCAAAAGAAATTTCCCAGCTGCCGAACTGTTAAATAATTAACTATTAAACAAACACTGTGATCACCTGGTCATATTCCAGAAGTTCTGTCTGCAGCATAAAAACCCTTATGAAAACCAAAGCCTATGAAACTCCTTTGTACAGCACCAGTAGTAAAAGACAATACTCGGACCAGTACCAAGGACATTAAGATACAAAAGTTAGAATCCAGGAGACACGAGTTGGCTGTCAGGGAAAGAATTAGGTTTGACAGGCCCCACTCACATGCATCTTGCAGCTCCCCATTCATAAGAAAATTATTCTCAATATACATAGTGCCAAATGTAGAGCATGGTGGAACACACACACACACACACACACAAACACATACACAGACACACACACGCCCATGTCCTTTCCCCAGAAAAACTCTAGACCTTGTCAAGGAAAAAATGATGTAAGTATCTGCCTAAAAAATTTTGAGAGGGGATTTTTAGTCACGTTTGTTCTTAAAATCTGTTTATAATAATCATTCTTTAGAAACATATGTCTCAATAACTATAGTGGACAACACAGGAAACCAATGTCAATTTTAAGGGTGCCAGTCAACATGTAACTGTCATGGAGGTTTTCATTTTTGTTTTGAGACAGAGTCTCAAACTCAGCAGCCTCCAGCCTCAACCTCTGAAGCAGTTGTGACTGCAGGCCCATGCCACCAGCTTCATGATCAGCTGCAGTTCAGCTGGGTGGCTTGGAGTGCACCTGGACACCAGCTTCATGATCAGCTGTGGTTCAGCTGGGCGGCATGGTGTGCACCTGGAATCGCAGCCACCTGGGAGGCTGAGGCAAGACAACTGCAAATTGGAGGCCGCCTAGATAAGTCAGTGAAACCGTATCTCAAAATAAAAATCTGAAGCTGGGTGTGGTGGTGCACGCCTGTAATCCTTGCACCGGGGAGGGATGGGAACAGAGGCAGGAGAAGGCCAAGTCTGAAGCCAGCCTGAGCTTCTTGGCAAGACCTGGAGAAAGAAACTGCAGGGGTGGAGAGAAGGAAGGAAACAAATGGATTCCTCCCCAAAAGTATCAGTATCAGGACAGTAAAGGAAGTAAATTGTTCTGTATAAAAAGATCAGTGAAGTGTAGCAGCAACAAAAAGATAACTAAGAAACTCATAAAGGGCTTTATTAGGAAATGGGTTATCAAGCAGATAACAGCACCATAATAATGCCCTGTTTCTGAAGGCGATGCCTGTATTAAGCTACTTAAGGTGACACACTGGTTTTAGGTGGTCAATGCTGATGTCTTCATGAGAACAGCCTATGATGCCTGGGACAGTAAAGGAAGCGAGGGGAAGGGGCCCTGCTGCTCACTCTACGGCTGAGGCAGGTTTGCTAGGGTTTGAAAACAGCCTGAAACAATTTTTAAAGTACAACCATCAACAAGTGCACGCTGCATGCATTCTGAAGACAGGCAAGAGGAGGCTTTCTATCTTTGCTTCAACTTTGTAGTGCACTTGTTCTAATTATGAAGGTCTTACTCACTGCAGGGCAAATCACTGCACGAAATACACTGCAAGCGAAGATGAATGTAAATGCCACAAAAAAATGACATCTGCTAACATCTGAGTATCCATGCTACAGGCCTGGCCCATAAAGAGATACCTATCCTTTTGTAAGCAAACTCGATGTGTTAAGCGAAACATTAAAGTAAAATTGAAATTATTATTACACACAAATATACACAATGGTAGTAAAAATAGGCTTACAGTGTCATTTTAACTGTCACATTGTGTCTCACTATATAGTCCCAGGACAGGGTCATCCATCACCCCCATCTCTGTTTCATATTTAGGAATAATTCTGCTTTAAGAGAACAATATATCTCTCAAGTCACATCTCTGTCCTTTTCCACCATACACAAGGACTTTAGCAAGGTATATCGTTGGGATCTGAGACCTAGGTTCTTTTCCAAATCAAGGTGGCAAAACTTTCAGGACACAGTATGTCATGCCGCAGGTCACCCCGATAGGTACGCTGCCTACTGAGGTTCCTTGGTATCCTGGTTCTTCTATGGAGGTGCTTTCTTATGCTCAGTCTCCAGGATTTATTGGTGCAGCCTTTGTACAAGGCCCTCTTGGCTAGAAAACCTTACTCCTGTCATGTATATGACATTCTACATTTGTTGTAAATAATACTCTTATGTGCTGCTACATATGAAACTGCATGTGCCATGATACCATGTGTCATGATTCTGCACACATATCACATGTACAATGTGTATAATGTGTCATAAATATGCTCTGAATGTATCATAAATGATCCTCTATACATGTCATATATACTCTATATGCATCATATATGATACTCTGTGTGTCATGGCACAGTGCATGCATCACAGGTATGATACTCTAAGCCTGTCATATGTAATGCTCCGTATGCATCATATATATGAAACTCTGTGTCACAGATACGAGAGTCTATGCACGTCATATATGACACCTTCTATGTATTAATTCCACTGTTCTTAATGCCTCTAGCTGCAGTAGCGTCACCTTGAATTACCATCACTTCAAGACGTTTGCTCAAGAGGAAGTTTCTCTTTATGGTGCAGAATTTTCTCCCAGACACCAAGGCTTACAGTACTGGACTGCAGGTTGGACAGAAGCTCTGTTCAAGGCGCCGGGGGACAGCGAGGTGGAAATGACAGGAGCCTGCCCTGCTAAGAGACAGCCAAGAGTCACTCCCGACCTGGGGGGCCTGGCAGCTGTTCAGGACACAGGCGTAAAGTAAATATTTTGAGTCACGGGCCTGATGTCACCATTTGGGTGAAGCTGGAACTCCCCAGCCACCACGCCAGAGAAGGAAATAGGTCAGAGACAGCTGCAAAAATCCCAGGGCTGAAAGAAGAGCTTCTCCGAAACAGTCAAGATAACAGAGGATTCTGTCTGCTCTCACAGATCTTGTTAGAAGTCATCAAACAACTCCCTGAGGTGAATGGAAACAATGCATACTGCAAATGTGTACCAATTAAAAAAATATATTTTTAAATGTCACCCTAATCACTTACATGAGAAAAAGGATATCTCACACAACGATCAAAATGAGAAGAAATTTCCTCCCATTACATAAATTAACACAAGACTACACCATCACTTTCAAAAATACAGACCAAGATGTTGCTGGAGAGATTAGAAGTTAATTAGCCTGGAAGTTTAATATGTCTATTGCCGGCTTCTGAAATCTGTGATTTGCATTTTACCATAGGCCCGCAGTCAAATGCTTGCAGATAGGAGCAGGAGGTCAGGCTGTCCTAGCTGGTCTCTGCCTCCTTATTAGCAGGTAAGACTCCTCAGTTCCCCGGGGTTTTCAAAGGCCACTGTCAAACATTCACCTTTTTGGAAAACGGGGAGGGGTGCTTATTTCTAGAACAAAGTCACTGTGTGGCCCTAAAGTTATATTCTTTCACATTCTTTGGAACAGCAAGATTATGTCACCCCTTGAAAAATCCAAAATAAATAAGAATGTCAAAACATTAAAAAAAAAAAAAAACCCAAGAGAACAATCTGCTTTAGAATTTGGTTTTAGTCATTTGGTTTCCATTCATTACTATGACTTCTATAAATAGTCAAGTAATTTAAGTCCTCAGAGAAAAAAATTTTTTTCCTAAAAATGGCTATTAAAACAATATTTTCCCACATACTCCTTTAATACAACAGATAATTCATGGACTTCTTTGAGTACTTTTTACATCAAACATTACTTCTGCTCAGTTGTACTTCCTAAAACAAATTTGTTTGAATGAAAACTCGCCCAATAGAACTTATTTGTTTATGTAAAAATTTGACAGGTCAGAGGATTCATTAAATAAATAAATCCTGTGTATCTCCTACATCTACAAGGCAGGACAGAGCAACAAATGACACAGAAACTCTCTGCTTCTCAAGGGGGAGTAACAGTAAAATAATTCTATGAAGAGAAGGATATTTTCAAAGAATCCATAAACCATAAAAAAAAATGTGACAGAAAACGATCAAGTGGTAGGTAGTTAGCTATTAGTACCATGCAGTATAATTTAATAATATTGTGAAATAATGTATCCCATTGCATTAGCACTCCTAATTTATATCAACATCTCTGAAATATGTGCCTGAATTATGACATATCTTTACAACTAGCATTTTTAATAGTATGTAAAAAGTACATTTTAAGAACAATGGCACCTCTGTATCTACAGTCAACTGAGAAAGATGCCAAGAAAATTCATTGGGAAAAAAAGTCTTTTCATTAAATGGTGCTAGAGGAATTAGATACCATTATACAAAAGATTAATTTGAAAATTCTACTTCATAGAAAAAGGTTAACTCAAAATACAGCACATTTTTAAATGTAAGAGTGAAAACTACACAACTCTCAGAAGAAAATAAAGAAATACATTCATGACCTTGGTTTAGCAATGATCCAGGAAATCAAAAGTGTGCTAAAGCAGGATTGCCTTACTGGACTTTATGAAATTAAGAATTCTGTGCTTCAGAAACACTGTAAAAAATATGGACAGACAACCCACAAACTCTGGGAAAATATCTGCTATCGTATGTTGGTTAAGAGGCTGTATTCAGGATAATTCGGGGAAAAGAGAACCTAATTAAAAATTAGATGTGTATCCATTAATCTTTACCTACAAAGGTTTAATTTAGGAACATCCGTAGCCCTTCTTAATTAACTTTATATTTACATTTTCACCCCATGGGCATAAAG